CTCAGGTTTATCGGCAAAGCTCAATTCAACCCAAGCAACCACCTTAACCAGTAAGGAATTAACCTTTTGTCTTTCTTTCTACAGATTCTGATATAACATGGAAACAAAACAGTTGAGAAACTAAATATTACTTGCATCCAGATATGAAAGGAGTGATATCGGTTTTTAGAAGCAAGATACTAAAGTTGCACACAACAAGAAGCTGGGACTTCTTAGGCCTTACCTTGTATAGCAATGAGGTAACTCCGTTGCAATTGACCTACGGCAATGACGTTGTAGTTGGGGTCTTTGATACAGGTCTGGTGCTTGTTCTTTCTTGTTGTTAAAGCCAGATATTGCTTATTTACTTCTGTAATGAAAGAAGATTACCGTTTCCCTTAAAAAAGGCATATAAACTCAGAGTTTACCGGGTGTCATCCATGTTACGTGTGATTGCACAGCATAGATAAAAGAAATATTATAATCTGTCTAGTTACAGCATCATGTAACCTATAATTGCATAGTATCTGACATTTTCATATTATTTATCTATATCTATTTGTTGATCGATACTTAAGGTGTATGGCCTGAGTCTGAGAGTTTCAAGGAAGACCCAGACCTGGGGCCAATTCCAACATCTTGGAAGGGAAAATGTGTTAAAGGAGAAAGTTTTGAACCAAAAAAAGACTGCAACCGGAAGTTAATTGGTGCACGTTACTACCTCCAAGGCTTCGAACAAGAATATGGGTCATTAAATAAGAGTGGCAACCCAGAATATCGATCAGCTCGAGACTTTCTTGGTCATGGGACACACACAGCCTCAACAGCAGTAGGATCCATAGCAAAGAATGCAAGCTTCTTTGGTTTTGGACAAGGCACTGCTAGGGGTGGAGCACCAAGGGCTAGGTTAGCAGTGTACAAAGTATGTTGGGGCAAAGATCTTGATGGAAAGTGTGCAGAGGCTGACATTCTTGCTGCTTTTGATGACGCTTTGCATGATGGGGTTAAGATAATCTCAGCCTCATTTGGTCCCGACCCTCCATTGACTCCATTCTTTTCATCAAATGCTGATATCGGTTCATTTCATGCAATGCAACTGGGCGTAACTGCAGTATTCTCAGCTGGAAATGCTGGCCCTGATCCATCTCTGGTGGGAAATGTTGCACCATGGACAATATCTGTTGCTGCTTCTTCTATTGATCGTGCATTTCCAACTGAGATAGTTGTTGACAATAACTTCTCTGTCATGGTAATTATCAGTCTTTTTTGCGTTAAGAGCAAGGAGTACACAAAATAATTTTGCATGGCAGGAAAAAAATGATGCAGAAGCTATTTTGGATGTGGGGTGATCTTAATTATCATCTACATATTTAGAGTTGTCACCACCATTAGGTTTCAATCTAGCTTATGTTTTATGTCCTACCATCAGTTTTACTAATTTGGCAGTCATGATTGTACAGGGAGAAAGCTTAATTACAAAAGAGATCAATGGAAGATTGGTGAGCGCGTTCTCCTATTTTGCCAAGGGGTACCATTCCCATCTCTCTGTCTATGATCACGACAGCATGTATTTGATTTAATTTTTGTTGTAGAAAATGGTTTGAAAATCATCTTTACATGTCTGTACACCAGCAACTACTGAGACATAGATCCAAGGTAGGTCTAAGATTAACTTTTTCTGAGGTAAGACTACTTTTGATCCAACAACACATCATACCTATTTTTCAGGGTTTGCATGATGGAGAATTGGAACAAAAGAGTAGCTAAAAGGAAGGTTATTCTATGCTTCTCCAACAAAGGGCCAGTACCATCAGCTGGAACTGCACAAGCAGCAGTCTTGAAGGCCAGCGGATCTGGTTTGATATTCGTTGAACCTCCCACCAGGCAAATTGCTGACGTTGATATCATCCCTACAGTGCGTGTTGACATTGTTCAAGGGAATAAAATTCAAACCTATCTTGCTCAATCTTTTCAGTGAGTGAATAAAATTCATTATATTGCATAGATTCCTTGCCCATGGAAATCTCTAACTAAAATTACTGTTTTGAGAAGGATGATAAATGGAATTGATCTGCTAATTGAATCAGAAGACGCTATACTGTTGTTACAGAAAAAAATTGACCAATTTCTAACATGAAAGTGTTGAACCATGAAGGAATCCTGTGGTGAAGATAGTACCAAGTAAAACAGTTATTGGAAAGTCACCAGCACCTATTGTAGCTTCCTTCTCTTCTAGAGGCCCAAGTCCAATTTCTCCTGACATCCTCAAGGTATGCTAATTGCCTTCAATTGCAAAAAACATCACAATGACTCTCACAATTCCTCAATGTTAACTGCTTCCTTGGGCTCTTTCCGTTTTATTTTTCTCATGACAGCCAGATGTGACTGCTCCAGGAGTTGCCATATTGGCAGCTTGGCCTGCCAAAACTTCTCCAACATTGTTACCATTTGATGACCGCCGTGTGAATTGGAACTTTCAGTCAGGAACATCAATGTCATGCCCTCATGTTTCTGGAGCAGTCGCACTCCTCAAATCAGCTCACCCTGATTGGTCTCCTGCAGCCATTAGATCTGCTCTAATGACCACAGGTAAAAAAGTAAAAAAATTAATGACTAACCAAGAAACTCTTTCTTTTACCTTCGACGCCATGCTATTGTTGTCCATGGAACATATGGTGCATGCCTAAATTACTACTGCTGGACCTCACTACAATGTCACCCAATTTGTTTCACTTTTTATAGAAGTTGAACCTTGCATAGAATAGGGCGTGGTAGAAGATTCTAAAAGACCCCACATCCTCCCAAAGCACTTCTTCATTGGTTTACAGCTAAAGGCCTAAAATCCAGCATCCACATTTCCTAGTGGAAAACAAAGATTGTATACAATTTATGATATATGTGAAAGTTTCTCACTTTTGTTCTGTTCTCTCATCAGCATATACAAGGGACAACACATTTGACAGCATCCTAGCTGGAGGATCAAGTAAAGTTTCTGATCCCTTTGACATTGGTGCTGGCCACATAAACCCTTCCAAAGCAATGGATCCAGGCCTAGTTTATGACATGAAAACCAGAGACTATATTATCTTCCTTTGCAACATTGGCTACAACCAAGAACAAATAAACATGTTGGTTCTTCCCTGTCCTGGGACTGACACATGCTGCTCTCATGTACACCAAACAAACTCAAACATAAACTACCCTTCAATCACAGTTTCCAATCTCCAATCCACAATGACCATTAAGAGAACTGTCAGAAATGTGGGTAGAAAAACAAGTGCTATATACTTTGTTAGCATTGTCAAGCCTCATGGAGTGGAGGTACTAATCTGGCCTAGGATTTTGATCTTCTCATGCTTCAAGGAGGAACTCTCATATTTTGTGACACTTAAGCCACTTAAGAAATCTCAAGGGAGATATGATTTTGGAGAGATAGTGTGGTGTGATGGATTCCACAAAGTTAGGAGTCCATTGATTGTGGTAGTGAACAACAGCAATGATGATGATGATGAACCTAGTGTTTTTGCATCCAATACTACTGCAGCTATTAGTAGTATATAGGGTCCCTTAGTGAGACCATGGCTATTTTGATACATGTCTTTATATGTCTATTTGAAATGTATGTATTGTACCCTTGGCCTTAATCATCATCTGCCTATGTGATTGGTTATCCTGTCATTATTGAATAAAATCCTTTTACCTTTTTTTTTTGCTATCCACTATTACATGACTTGACGGGAAGGGATTTAGTTTCTGCACGAAAGCTCGGATACGAAGGTTAATCCGAGAATACATGCAGTATCCATTCAATAAAAAAGAGAAAGAAAACAAGCATTGCCTTGCTTTACCTTATGTGAGCAAAAAGTAACATAAAAACAAAATGTACCTGACTCAATTAATATGCCTTGGTGCTTCTTCTCCTCACTAGAAACTCTCTGTTGTAAGACATAGCCGGAGCTTTGGTTCATGGCAGGAAAAAGATTGAAAGCATCTGAATTGAGGGCACAGAAAAGAATTGATTAGTAAAAGTTCATATCTACTATTCCCATGATTAGATTTAAAGAAGAGAGAACGAAAAAACAACCCCTAAATATTACACCTGTTGATTACACTAGGAGAGAAGTATTCAAGGCCAGGGCCAAGTGTGTGATCCCAACAGAGAGAACAAGCCAGCAAAGAATGGAGAGAGAACGAATGATATTTGAGTGAGAGAGCAGGGCTGTGGCCTGTGGGTGCTAGGCTGCTGCTATATTTTGAAATTTTAGTCACTAAAGACGAAAAGATTAACAAAAATGAGAAGCTATTTATCCTTATGTAGCTAACATAATCACTAAATTATTATCAGCCATGCATGACTCCTCCACTCACATGACATCCAGAGTAACAATTTCTCAGCTTTTAATCTCTCTCTCTCTCTCCCAGAACAGTAAAATGATGGGTACACTGCAGAAATGGAGCATGCTTATTTACATCAAGACAAAATTAACTAGATGGAGAAGACTGTTAAGGTGGTATTTGGGCGTGCCGTGTTACAAGGATCGCGTCCCAACCGCGTGAAAATATGAATCTTGGGACTTTTATGGGCTTGCAAGCTCCACAAGAATTGACTGGGACAAATCTATGGCCTATTTCCATCTGGGCCATTACCTTTGTCAAAGACTTCACCTTCTCTAAGAATTTCTCCTACACATAATTATTACAATAATAATAATAATAATAATATCGCACGAAATGACAATTTCATTGCCCAATTTCCATTGTTTTCTCATTTTGACACCACCTTTTAGGGTCGTTATTAAAATACAAGGGATTCCTTAGAGGAGAAGGATGGTGAAACCGATGTCCCTGTCCTTGTTCCCAATTAGGGCTTCTCTGTATGATTCCTAACTCATCCTACTGTCACCCGAACCTATCTCACCCACCAATAAAAAAAAACTTATCAATCAAACCTTAATAAATAATAAAAAAGACACCACTCACGACCTGCCAAGTTGGAAACTTGGTCCAATTAAAAAACATTGATGATATCACCGAAGGACCCGCGGGTGAGAGTAAATAGTAGATCGCGAGCGAGGGGAGGGTGCGTTGGAGGTATTTAAATCACAAACATAGAGAAAAGAAAACCCCTCTTTCCCCCAAAAACCCTAAAAGCTCAAACCTTTGGCGGCTATCATCAGAACCCACCAAAGGGGTTTATTATCTTTCAAGATCTGTCATGGCTACCCTTTCATCTCCTGCTGACCGTATCCTTGTTTACTCATCTGAGTTTTCCTTTTTCTTCCTTTTGTTCTGTTTTTGATCTGCTGTTTTCTGCGTTCGTTTTGTGTTTTGGTGTGTTTTATAGGTTCTTTTGCAGGGATTTTGTAGAATTTGAGATGGATTTTGAGTGTTTTGTACTATACTGATAGCTATGCTTTTGTTAGAATGATTTACTTCGCGCCCATGCAGAACAAGTGAATTTCACACTGTGAGATTTGGTTTTCTGGATTTTGCTTCATTTGCTGATGGCAAGCATGCTTCTAGGCGAATCACTTGTTTTTCTGTTTAATAATCTAGGTTTTTGCTATCCGAAGTTGGATTCCACCCCCCCCCCCCCCTAATATTTGTTTGAATGTTATGATTTTGAATTTATGTAATTCCTTTACTTTTAATCTCCATAGAAACTTCAGATTTGCTGCAGAAATTATCTTTGGACTCACAAACAAAGACCTTAGACGTGCCGGAGCCCACCAACAAGGTAATTTGCAGCCTTAAAATTTGGATCTTTTATCTTTGGTATCGACTTGTGCTTATATTTGTTAATTTGGTTATAACTAGATCCAGCCAAGTGACCGGTCTGTGACCCCAGTGCTATCCAACTTCATGGATCCAACTTTGTGCTACCTTCCTAATGGTTATCCTCCCTATTATTATGGAGGTAATTTAACATACTGAAAAGCTATTGGATTTTTTTTCAAATGTTTTTTGTATTGAATTACCACTACTGTGATGTCTTGTAAGAGATGGATGTTAATTTGATAAATTATTTATTGCTGCTGGTTCTTCTAGGCTATAATGGGACCGGCGAGTGGGATGACTACTCAAAGTATATGAATACAGAAGGAGTAGATATGACTTCTGTAAGTATACCTGCATGCCTGATGACTGTTTCAAATGGCAGTGTCAATTGTTATTCTTTGCTAAGTGGAGTTTCCTATATAATTTCTTCTTCGTTTGTATTTGGATTTTCAGGAGACCCTATTCTTTTTTAAACAATTGGTTTCTGATATGTTTTTTGTTGTTTCAAGGGTGTTTATGGGGACAACGGATCTGCTATGTATCCGCATGGTTATTGGTATGGAGCCTATGGCCCATATTCCCCAGCAGCTTCTCAAGTTCCTACTATGGGAAATGATGGTCAGTTATATGGTCCTCAGCACTACCAATATCCTCCTCCCTATTTCCAGCCATTGACTCCTACCAGTGAACCTTTTATGCCCAGCCATGTAGCTCCTTCACAAGGTGATCTTTCTATCTCCACAGCTGCTGATCAGAAGCCTTTGCCTGTAGAAACAGCTAAAGAGAATTCAAATGGCATTGCAAATGGTGGGGATGTTAAGGGAACCAATGGCGCAGTTCCATACAAACCCAAGTATCAAAATTCATACGGAAGGGGTGGTTTTACGAAGGGCATTTCTGCTTCTGGTTACAAGGATCTGAAATCTCGTTTTGATAGGTTACAGCCTGATATCCCATTGCTGGGTAGCTCTGTACTTTCCAATGGCCTGTATAGAAACACTGAGATTTCTTCTTCATTTACAAAGCCTAGCAATGCTCCATCTACAAGGAATCAGAATTTCCATCAAAATTCTCATTTCATGGTATGCGATCTATGGTCTTGCTCATTCTATCTATTGCATATGTTTGACCAAATCGGTGATGCTAAATCACTTGTGTCCCAATTTGCTCTCTTTAACCCTTGGTTGAATCCTTTTCCTACCTTCTTTTACTTATTTGTCCAAGTTTTTTTAACTTGTGTTGATGTCATTGTCAGTCTACCCCTGATTCTATTTTCTATAATGTTTTAAATGTGGCTGTAATGGTTTTTATTGTTAACCTGTATATTGGGCTATACTAATTCTTGAATTTCAAAATATTTCCAGACTCATTTTGTGAATGTTCCTTGTTTTTCCAATTACAAGTATTCATTTTATAGTGTATTTTTTCTCATGTATGATATGTTTTACTTGTCAGGGATGGCAGCACCCTGGTCTGGCATCAGGCATGGGTTCAACTCATGGATATATGAATAGGGTGTATCCAAATAAATTCTATGGTCAGTCTGGAAATGGTTTTAAATCTGGTATGGGCTTTGGATCTGGTGGTTATAATGCAGGAATAAATGGACATGGGTGGTTGGCTATTGACAACAAATATAAACCCAAGGGGCGAGGCAATGGTTATTTTGGTTATCGCAATGAGAATATTGATGGTTTGAATGAGCTGAACAGAGGACCTAGGGCCAAGGGCTATTTCAAAAACCAAAAGAGTTTTGTTCCTGCCACAGTTGCAGTCAAGGATCAGAGTGTGCCATCAAGTGATGCTAATGTCGAGGAGGAGGATAAGACAACTGCAGCTCCAGACCGAGACCAATATAACAAAGCAGATTTCTCAGAGGAATATGTGGATGCTAAATTCTTCATTATTAAATCCTACAGCGAGGATGATGTGCATAAGTGCATTAAATACAACGTATGGGCTAGCACACCAAATGGTAACAAGAAGCTCGATGCAGCATATCAAGAGGCTGAGCAGAAATCTGGTGGTTGCCCAGTGTTTCTATTATTCTCGGTGAGCATTTGATGTTATCAATCTTTCTGATTCATTATTTAACAAGTGTCAATGGCTATTAGCTTAGCTTTATTTTTGAATCTTTTTCTAGGTCAATACCAGTGGGCAATTTGTTGGGTTGGCAGAGATGACAGGGCGAGTTGATTTTGACAAGAGCGTGGAGTATTGGCAACAAGACAAGTGGACAGGGTATTTCCCTGTGAAGTGGCACGTTGTGAAGGATGTTCCCAACAGCTTGTTGAAGCATATCACACTTGAGAACAATGAGAACAAACCGGTCACCAACAGCAGGGACACTCAAGAGGTAGTAGTTAAATGATTTTCTCATTGGTTTTTTTATCTCTATATCTTTTTCTTTCTAAAATGCACTCTTGCTGATTTTAGGTCAAGTTAGAGCAAGGGCTTAAAATGGTAAAAATATTCAAGGAACACAGCAGCAAAACATGCATATTAGATGATTTCGGGTTTTATGAGGACCGGGAGAAAATGATTCAGGAGAAGAAGGCTAAGCAACAGCAGCTCAAGAAACAGGCACGTGAACATCGTTGTGTTTTTATCTTGGTTTTTAGATGATCTTTTGTTTCTTTCTACTGCCTTAGTTTTGGAATACTTTTCTTCTAACTTTTGTTGTCTCATTGTGCATAAGTTCAGGTATGGGATGGAAAGCCAAGTGATGACAAGAAAGAGCTGGTAAATAGTTCATAGAAGTCTCTGGACACTGTCTCTGAATTGAGCTAAGAACCTAATTTAACTGCACTTTCTAATGGGGGAGACCTGAAGGATTCTGAGGATGTGTTGGTTACTAAAAGCTAAAACGTATCAGAGGCAGAGAGAAATATGGAAAATGGGGTTGCTAGTTTCTGCTGTGTGCAGCTGTATTTGTAGATTCATACAACGAGTTTTGTCCGAAGATTGCTGCTTTAAACTTTTCAGAGGGGGTGGAAAGTAACTTGGTGGGTTAGGCTTGTTCCAATGTAGTGGTTCGATGTGGGTAGCTAATGACAGGTTTCTGTTTCGTTAGGAGCTTGGGTTTTAGTGTTTTGCTTTAGGGCCTTTATATTCCTATTTTGATCTTTTTTTTTCCCTTTTTTTCCCCCTATATTTTCTATATTTATCTTTAAATTCCTGTTTGTTTCGTTTCTGCCTTGTAAATCCAGTGACCCCTTTGTTACAGAGCATAATGTAACTTGTAAGAGGGCTAGAAGCAAGGTTGTTTGAGTCTGTGCAATAGATTTGAGTAAAAGGAGCATTTAATGTTGTCTTCTTGTTTTGTTTTTTTTTTTTGGGGCTTGTTCCATTTTTGTTTCCCTTGCAGTCTTGTGGCCTAACGATAGTACTATGATCGTAAAACGTTATGCCGCTATGATCTTAGTCTTTCAGGCGGCGTGGATTCATTTGACTTCCTGCCATTAGTTATAAGGGAAAGCATCAGAAGTCTTTTTTTCAAGTGTTGGTTTTTCCTTGAAAGATCTTCGTTGCTTCCAGGTTGACTCGAGTCTTGCTAGAAAATCTACCTTTTTTTTTTTTTTTGGGAAAGGAAGAAACTTGTCTATATAAAGATTCTGGTCCGAAGGTTTTCGAGTAAATTATAAATTAGTCTTAGAAACGAATTAATTAGTCTAGTCTTTTTGGTTAAAAAATTAGTTATTAATCTTTAACCTGTGTGGATCTCAAAAAATTTAATATTATTTTATGTTTTTAAATGTTTTTTTCCTCGTAATATCTAATTTGTAAATGAAAAACAAAATAAATTAAAAAAATAAAATTCATAAAAAGGATTAAATAATTATTTTTAACAGATAGTATTAATTAATTCGTTTTCAAACTTTAAAGGACTAATTTATTAAAGATTTTTTTTTTGTTTTTGTTTTTTGTAGTTAATTAAAAATTTAGGAGGACGAATAAAAGTTGGGCTGAAAAGGTCCAACCATTCGTAAACTCTAAGTTACTTGAAATTAAATCCTTCAAAATTTTTTTTAATTGATTTTGAGAATTCTTAAATTTTTAATATTTTTAGATTTAACTCATCTTTTTATTTTCTATTATTTATTTAAAAAATAACAATCAATAGAAATCGTAATATTTGTGTGGGGTTATTAAAAAATTTGAGATCATTTTGAAATAATTTTTTTTTATTTTCTATATTTTTTTATATTCAAAAATAAAAAATATAGTTTTTTATTTTTTAAAATTATGAAAAATTTTCAAAAATAAATTCAATTATTTTTTAACATGTGTTCAAAATTTCTTCACAAAATACAAAAAAATTAAGTTTTTTTAAAGAGAAGATGATAGCTAAAAATAATTGGATGGATTAAATATATATATATAAACAAGAGCCTAGAGATCTGAAAGACCAATAAAAAAATTCAAAAACTTAACATAAAATGATATAAAGTTTAGATGCTTGTGGGCTAAAAGTTGGCAATTAAATTAGTGAAACCAAACTCAAAATTTATGGTGAACGAGGTGCACATGCTAAGGATGATGAATTATTCTTAGAAAGTAATAATAATAATAAAAGAAGTGAAATGATAAACTTGCCACATGTACCACACATAGACGCCATGCCATGCCCTGTCTGTCTGTTTAACGTTATTTGATCATCATCTACTCTCTGACCATTTGCGACCTCTATCAATTCCATTAATTTTCACTTCCTAAATAGCTAGTAATTTTTTGTCAGGAAAGGAAGGAAAAGAAGAAGAAGAAGAGTTAATACAAGGCAAAGGAGTTATCTTTCTTTCTTTCTGGGATTGGATTGGATTGGATTGTTTGGTGCCTGCAAAATATTATTAGTAATGGCTATGTCAACTGGTTTGAGGAGGTGTGGAAGAAGATTGGTTGCTTCTGTTTGTAATAATAGGGAAGTCTCATTCTCAACAACCTGTCAAGGCAACAACGTTATTCAACAACTCCAGCATGGACAATTACAAGAAACTGGGAAATCATTGAATCTTTGCTCTGCCATCAATCAAGCTCTCCATATCGCCTTGGAAACCGATCCTCGGTACCCATTTCGTTTTCTTCTTTCTATTTGGTTTCTAAATTTTTATTCCCACTCCAAGTTTCTATCTTTTTCACTGTTGGGTATTTCTTTATCAAACTGTTTATTCATTTATTTAAGAGAGTTTTGTGTTTAGGGATTAGTGTTGGATTAAAGTCTCATTTTCGAGTTTCAAGTAGTAATTATTTACACCTTCTATTGTATTCCAGCTCGTATGTGTTTGGGGAAGATGTGAGCTTTGGTGGGGTATTTCGGTGCACAGCAGGACTAGCTGAAAAATTTGGTAAAAAAAGAGTTTTCAACACACCTCTTTGTGAACAGGTAACTACTACCTCTCTGTTTCATTCTGTTGCTATTTTGCTCTTGTTGATGTAATATTTGCATATCTGGTTGTCTAAGGTGGAGCTTTAAGCTTAGGATGAATTTCTAGGTGGAAAACCTTTTCTTGGCTGATACTTGATTCAGATTTTAAAGTTAAGTTGGCTGGTTATTGAGAATCCGCCGGTCAAAGGGTATCCATCAATTTGACTCACTTAATATTGGATATTCATCTTCTGATTCTGTATTTCTGATTCTTGCTTCCTTGTTCCACTTTCCTTTTTCTATAACTAATGCTGTTACTGAAATGTACTTGCAGGGCATTGTTGGATTTGGCATAGGCCTGGCAGCAATGGTTAGTTTTCATATTTGATGGGGAGCTTGCATGAGCTTTGGATTCATTTCTCGTCCGATAATTATAACTCTTATTTTCATCTCATGTATGGCGTAACAGGACAATCGTGCTATAGTAGAAATTCAGTTTGCAGATTATATCTTTCCTGCTTTTGATCAGGTAAGCATTCTTCCTAATGCCAAGCATTATTCTTACATTACATTTCCCTCTAGTTGACACTTGACAGAATTTTAACGTTTTAGATTGTTAATGAGGCTGCAAAGTTTAGATATCGGAGTGGAAATCAATTTAATTGTGGAGGTGAATTCTGTTTTTGTTTCATTGGATAATGTAATCGCTATTTAAACTCTGATTCACTTTCCTTTGTACGCTGCATTACTCATTTTTACACTTGTGATGAGATTTAATGCTATTCCACAGGTTTAACCATAAGAACACCATACGGAGCTGTGGGCCATGGTGGACATTATCACTCTCAATCCCCTGAAGCTTTCTTTTGTCATGTTCCGGGCATCAAAGTACGTCTCCTTCTTCCATGTTTTTAATTTATTATTTTCCTTTGGGGTGAGGTTGGAGTGTTTTAGGAGCAATGCCTCCCTGATTGGACTACCTGTAGACGTGTTGTATATTTCTCTTCATGAATACAATACAGGTTTCTGCAGCAATGAATTCTTTCTGGGACTTGAAAAAACATGGCAATGTGCATAACAAATGTTCAATCATACAGCAAGCGGTTTTATTTGCTTTTGCAGTTTTTGTAGTTGTACTTCTGTTTTATCTTGAATCCTTCTCCAAAAAGTGAAAACTTACTTAGAGATCCATAAGGTTGACCAGTACACGAGTCTCTTGTGAAGCAAAACATTTCTTATATCATCGACAATCATGGACTGACTGAGGCAAGCCACAGTACTTTGTAAAGTGCAACAATGGTGGTTGTTTCTGTTCTGTCATCCCATTTATTTTTTGTAGAACTGAAAGAAAGTTTTCTTTCCTCTAATCTTCTTTGTCGTGCTTCATTTGCTAAATCGAGTTTGAACCACTTGAGCTACATTTGGGTTGACAAGAGTTAGTGTCCTAGTTTTGTTGAAAGGCATTTGAATTCTTTCCAGCTCCGTTTATGAGATGATTTCCACGCATCTTGTCCAGTAAATCTAACCAGTGGTTCTTTTACAGGTGGTTGTTCCACGAAGCCCAAGGGAAGCAAAAGGATTATTACTGTCATCTATACGTGATCAAAACCCTGTAATCTTTTTTGAACCAAAGGTACCTGCTCTTCATCCTCATATTAAATAATATAATAGGCTCTTAAATTTATCAATTAGTTCATTTCTGTGATTGACATTAGTACAAATGCCTTGGGATTTTCAGTGGCTTTATCGTTTGGCAGTAGAAGAGGTTCCTGAGCATGATTATATGTTGCCTTTGTCAGAGGCAGAGGTAAGCTACTTCTAGCTTTTCTTAGGAGAGTTCAGAATTCTAAATCTGAAGAAAGTCACTAATGCAATAAATACTCAGGTGATCCAAGAGGGCAGTGACATAACACTAGTTGGTTGGGGAGCACAACTGTCTGTCATGGAGCAGGCCTGTTTCGATGCTGAGAAGGTAAATGATTTTGTAGTTGCAATAGTTCCTGGTCATGTAACAATGTGACCAGTGCCAATATCTTTATTAAGCATATTTGATACAGAATTATTCACAAGCATCAGTAAATATACCTAATGGCAAGTTTTCTGTACTGTTTATGCGACCTTGCCCCTCTAAGAAGGATTTTTATTATTTTCACACTATGAACATTTAGATAGGGAGTTGATCCATGAGATTTTGCAGGAGGGAATTTCTTGTGAACTGATAGATCTCAAAACTCTAATGCCCTGGGACAAAGAAACAGTAGAAGCATCTGTGAGAAAGACTGGAAGACTTCTTGTAAGTATTAAAACTCTGGTCCCTTTTTCTAAAAAAAGGGAAGGATGTTTGGTGGAGTCTAGGTAATAACTCTGCTGTCGCCGTGTAGATAAGTCACGAAGCTCCAGTTACTGGAGGTTTTGGTGCTGAAATTTCTGCATCTATTGTTGAACGTTGCTTCCTAAGGGTAAGAATTAACATTTACAGATCTCTATTTTCTTATATCGCCACGGGTATTTAAGTTGAGCAATGAACATCATTAAAAAAAATTCTTTATGCTGCGATGGAGACCATTGACGGAAACATAAGATGTGTTGTGAATGGTGCAGCAGATTGGAGAAATGGTAATGAATCTACATTTGTTTGAATCATTTTCTCGCTAAAAAAGCTGGATGTATTTCGCAGTTAGAAGCCCCTGTAGCCAGAATTTGTGGCCTGGACACACCCTTCCCTCTTGTTTTTGAACCCTTTTATGTACCAAACAAGAACAAGGTAAACCATTTCCAATTCTTTCAAGATAGTTGGCATGGTTATCAAGCAAGTAGTTGAGTAATATGGCGTATGCTATTCCTGTTTGGATGCAGATACTGGACGCAATCAAATCAACAGTAAATTACTAGGAGTCAAGTTGGAAGCAGCAACTCTCCTCCTTCGCAAACAAAAGATGCTAACAAGCAACCTTCTTTGTCTGTCCCACTTGATTAATATGGAAATCCAAAAACACTAGGGGATTGCCCCCAGTTAATTAAAACAGAGTCCAGTTATGAATTTCGTTATTTTCAAACCATTATATGTACAGTACAGGACAGGACAGGACATGCCATCTGATTGTAACTATGTTGATTCTGTTCTTATAATCTCATCTTTTTAACAAGCATTAAAATAAATTAAAATTTAACAGTAGTTACTGCATCGGGAGACTTATTTTTTGAGCATTGATCCAGGTTTTATTCGTAAAGGAAAGTCGAAATCAGAACTAATCTCTCAGGTGAAGTGAGCTGTTATGTCTCAAACATGATGGGGAAATGCCCATTCTAATGGCATTAACAAATGTCCACTTGTAACTGAATGTCTTGTAAATTATGGGATTCATCAGCTGCTTGGGACTCGTTATCTTGGTAACCCTCGTTCCAGTTTGATACATCAGGCCATGTAGACAGGAAAAGGAACCAATTTCTTATTCAGCCAACGAATGCAATATTCCACACGAATGCAATAAAAAGAGTAATCAAAATTAAATAAAAATAATGTGTAAAAGGAGAAGGCCTCAGAGATCTTGGTGGATAAACATCATCAAATGGAATTATTTATAAATATTCCATCAAGAGTAGCAAATATTTTCTCACATCACTGGCCACCAAAGAATAATACCAATAATTAAAAACGACAAATACATGATGATGATGATGATGATGATACTTTGATGGGGTCAGAAGTAGCTGGTTGTGTAATCACATAAACATGAATCAGTGGGAATCCGTCTGATTTTTATCATCATCCCCCAATCAATAAATCATTCATCATCACTAAACATTTATAATTAATAAAAACATATTTATATATTTATGGGGTTTGAAGAGAGAAAAATGGAAATTGTATCTACCTTGTCACCAACAAATCCTAAATACAATTTCAGAGAAACAGAGGACAGTCGGAGCTAAAGGTAGATGATGTATATGCATACAAAGAATACATTACTATTGCCTAACGATAGATTCTTTGGCCTACAACCATTTCGTTTAAGACCAAGGAATTGCAATATTAGGCTTTGAAGAGAAGACATGAGAAGAGAGATTACCTAAACAATAAAACTTCTTGAAAAACCCTAAATTAAAAATTAAAATATTAGAGACGACATGAGAAGAGATGCTTAACAAATAAAACCTCTAGATAAACCCTAAAAAGAGAGATGATGGCCGTTGTTAGCCCCTGCTGCCGCTGCTCTCTTCTTTGGTGTTTTGCGCTCTTTATATCTAGATGAGACTTGGGGAAGATAGTGGGTGCGGAAAACCCTAATTCTAAAACCCCTTGCCTTCGGCTGCGTGAAAATGGGCCTTTCTTTTGTACCTCATCCAGTGGGCCTAATGCTTTTCTTTGCATATACGCTTACCACAAGGGATGGGCCGTGGATTGGGCTAAATTAATCATTCACCTTCACTTTAAAATTCATTAACGAGGAGATTATTCATTTGTTATTACATCCATTTGGATAGCTACTAACAGTAGGCAGACTGAAATATGATGAGCTAGGAACCATAAGAATATCAAATAAATAAGGTTGTATTTTGTCCTTAGAATAATAATAATGTCTCGAAAATTTTTTTGTCACTATCTCAATGGATCCATATTAGATTACAACATGATAGATAAATCATAGCCTTCAGCTCTGTACTGTCATTCACCGCAAGTCCTTTTGGTTTGCGCACAGCAGTAAACTAGCAAAAATATGACACCATCGAAGTATTATGGAAAATTCCCACTTAAAAACAGAGACCAACAATTGCAGCTCTTCTGACTACAGTTTTTACCAAAACCAATCAGCCATCAAATCAGAGCATTCTCCTGAATCGGGTTCTTCAGCAGGACCTTTCTTCTCGGATTCCTGACCACAGAGCAGGCAAAATCCCTCTCATCATTTCACTTCATACTTCTACTTTCTCATTAGCTTCTGAAGTCTGAGCCATACTGGCTCCTGAGAGATCCTTCAGGAAAGTCCTAAGGCATCCATTAATAATGCGTGGTGCTGCCCCGTCACAGAATCGTTTTGCAAGGTCCACAGCCTTCATCCAGAGCAAGACATGATTAAAAAGAACATATTAATGGTGTCCAGATGAAAGAATAGGGAGATAATGGCACTGAAAAAGCAATCCATACACAGCAAAACAGTGACTACAGGGCAGATAAAGCTACCTCATTAATCACAATCTGGTGGCGTGTTCCAAGAACTGTGATCTCAGACATTGCCATGTGGAGGATACAGAACTCCAAAATTCTTCCCGCTGGCTCATTCTGAGGCATGACAGCAGGGAACTTATGTGATATTTGTTGATGAGAGTAAGAATAATGAATTTCCATGTAACTTTGCGACATGATAAAATGTTCATACCCATGAGTCAACAAGAACACAACCATAAATCTGGCTAACAATTTCAAGTCTCCACTAGATGAACAAGTGCTACAAATATTGCTTCTCACAAATAATATCCAAAAAGATTCTATCAATACTCACTGCTCAACTTATTAAAATCTAACACAAGGAAATAGCAAAGGTTGCTATCTCTCCAGCCCATGGCAATCTAACCTGTGGTTGTATCCTATTAACTTGCAAGGTTTAACTCACATCAAATTAAGAAATATGGCATCAAATTTCAAGCACCAAGAAAGAAAAGTATCAGTGAGCCTGCGTCGCTGCGATGCTCAGGAAAATGAGGCGTGGGTAGGTGTTGGTTTAAAAACCAAAACTAAAGCTAGCAGCAAACTTGAAAATCAAGCATTTCATACTGTAAAAGCCCATGTATGCAGACCTTCCAATTTGGCGGGGAGACTTTATCTATTACAAGAACATGACTGTCCCATTTATCCACCACAGCTACCAAAAGCTTCCTTGTGAAACTGCCACAAAAGGAATAGAAAAGCAATCAGAAAGACAATTCAATCCCACTGCCTCTTTCACTGTGGTCAACTGCTCTAGCTACACATTCAACCAATCTACATATATCTAGGTGGTTTACCGCAAAAGCAGTTTGCTGTATACCAACTTTGGAGGAGCTGAAAGGACTTCCGCTTCTGAAAGACAAAGAGCATGATTGATTCAGGCATCAACAAAAAGGTGAAAAAAGGGAAAATGAGCATAGATGAAAAGTATTAGAACTAAATCTGGTGGCATGTCATGCTCATAATTAAATAGTGTAGATTGACTGTATAGGGAAACCACATAACTCAACTTCTTGTTTGTGGTTTAAAGACTCTAAAAAACATGGATGGTAAACAATAGTTCCATTAGACTCTCTAAAGACACATAAAATTAATTAAAATGGAATACAATGACTGCAGAATATATGCTCTGAAGGAGAGAAGAGGAAAACAAAAAATTAGAGCTGGAAAGAATGTAAGGATCCCATTCACCAGAAACAAAACGCTACAGCAAGTGCGAGTAAGCATTTAAAAAGCTTAATTACCAATTGCAGACTCTTTCTCATCGTTAAGCTGAAGCTCATCAGCTTCTTCAACAGTCTCAGTTGTAACAGGCGGTCCTCCAAAGCTCATGTGATTGTACTTCAACAATGATGCCTTATCGAATTCATAACCGGGTTCTGAATGCAAGGAATGCAAACAAGCCAGTTACATAACCATTAACCAGATGTCTCTGAAGAACAAGTATGGTATAAAGCATCAAAAGGTTGCCATAATGTTTTAAGTAGGGAGAACTCCTAAATTACCTCTTCTTGCATTCATTCTCTTCTCAAATAGTCGAATTGGGTCAGAGCCTTCTAAGCACGAAGCATAAATGATCAATCTTGCAAACCAACAAAAACCAATAAGGATTTTTTTCTCGGAAGCATTAGAAGTTTCTACAAAATTTCAGTAGAAGAATTGAGCATCACCTGGCAGGCAAAATAGCTGAATGTAAAGTTAGGAAATTTGGAAATGTAAATATGTAAAACCCTAAACCCACAAATCATATGTTTTTGGTATTTACGTAGAAAAGAAGAAAAAGTTATGAAGAGAGAGAGAGAGAGAGAGAGAGAGATAGAGAGAGACATACAAAGCAAGCTCTCGGGCGGCTCTTGGGCTGCAAAACCTCCCACTCTTATCAATCTTTGGCATCATTTCTTTGTCATTCGTGGAGGAAGAATTGTCCACTGGTTTGTCGACAACAAAAGGCGAAGTTCGAAGGGAGGTTGCCATTAAAACTTTGCTGGTCTTCTTCTTGTTTCTGTTGGCTATGAAATTCGTACTCACAACTTCGCATTGCCTAGAAGAAGCAGAATAATAGTAATGAGGAGGACAAGACGATGATGGAAAAGAATGTTTGAAAAAACTGACACTGAAATTGAAATGGGTTTTGGAACAGCTTAAAAGTGAGCTTCCCTCCATTTCCTCCTCTTCTTCTTTCTTCTCTGCTCTCTCTCGCTCAAATTCAGGATAATGATATTTATTTATTTTATTTTCGCCTTTTTTTTTTTTTGCCATGGTGTGGTGGTCTGGTCGGTCATATACTAGACGTAGACGTAGGCAGGTTCCACAATGCGACGTCGTTGTTACTTGCGTACCCTACTAGGTAGTAAAGAATGGGACTGGAAACAGCGTCGTTTTGACATCACTCCCCAAATCCTTCCCTGCCATCGTCCTCTCTGACCAATCTAGCCATAGCTCGCATAATCATTGCTAATTCTCTCTCTCACACACTCTCACTAAGAGTCAGAATCTTGATTTGCTGTTCGTTCCATACACAGAGAGAGTAAGGATATATAATATATAGTACAAACAATGAAAGTAGAGACGAGCTTCTTCTTGTTATTTCCGATTGTTTTTGCATTCTTGTCTAGTACACCTTCCATTGTTAGATCAGCATCAGCATCAACATCAACTGTTGTTCCTAAAAGCCCTTTTATTGGAATCCCTCCTCAAGGTGACTCCTTCCTTTCTACTATCTTTTCTTCTTCTTTTTTCGTGAAAAAAGGTCTTTTCTTTTTCGATTTGTTTGCCAACATCATGATGATGATGAATTTGTTGTTTTTTTTGGATGCCCAGACGAGAATTATTACAAGACATCATCAGATACTATAAAATGTAAAGATGGATCCGCGACATTCACCAAGTCTCAGCTCAACGATGATTTCTGTGATTGCCCTGATGGTACCGATGAGCCTGGTCTGTCTCTCATACTTATTCTTTCTTTATATGTCCTTCTTACTTTACATTTTTACCCATTTTCAGCAATTGCTTATATCTAGTTTTCTTTTTTCAATCAAAATTTCATGCTTCCTTTTGAGGGGGAAAAAAAAGGAACTTTCTTTTCTCAAAACATACTAGCATATCTTTACTTGTTTTGACAATATATCTTATGGATGGATGAATGGACTGTAGGCACATCAGCATGCCCTGGTGGGCAATTCTATTGTAGAAATGCAGGACATGCTCCTGTTTTCTTATTTTCTTCCAGAGTCAATGACGGCATCTGTGGTAAGCATGTACTACAAGTAACCTATATAGTACTATGTATATTATACTTGTTTTTTTTTCCTTGTAGTGTGTATTGATTGGCTCATAATGTAGATTGTTGTGATGGGAGTGATGAGTATGGTGGCCAAGTTAAGTGTCCAAATACATGCTGGGAAGCTGGCAAAGTGGCTAGAGATAAGTTGAAGAAAAAGATTGCCATGTATAAGGAAGGGGTTGTGCTGAGAAATAAAGAAGCTGAACAAGCAAAAATAGCATTCGCCAAAGATGAGGCTGAACTATCCAAGCTAAAAAATGAGGAGAATATACTCAAAGGGGTAGTTCAACAGCTTAAAGGTATAGTTTTTCTCAATGTTGTGCTGTCTTAGTTTCGGCCTGCTATGCTTGTTACTGTAATTAATACTACCACTTCTATTTCCTGAAGAAGATTTGAGCATGGTAAACATAGATAGACTGGGATATCTTACAACATGTGTGTTTTTCTGTATGTTGGTTCATGTTTGGGGCTAACTATTGTGTAAATGTTCTTCTGTTCCACCTCTCCATGTAGAGCTTAAGGAACAGATAGAGAAGGCAGAAGAGAAAGAGCGCTTGCAGAAAGAAAAGGAAGAGAAAGAAAGGAAAGAAGCTGAAGAAAAGGCCAATGGGGATAAAAGTGCAGTTGAAGAGGAAGCTAGCCTAGAGAAAGGCCATACTGAGAGGGAAATTGAGAATGAAGACAAAGAAATGGAAAGCAAACATGATGAAATCGGTCTTCTGGATGATTCTCCTGCAGATCAGGTCTGACTGGGTCGCTCATTTTGATGTTCATCATTCATCAACCTTTATGTGAGCATGCGCACATTCAAACTCTCATAATTTGTCAAGGCTGTTTAAAGTGCTTCTCTTTATAACATGTTCTAAAAGCATGTAGGAGTGATTTTCTGAACAAGTAGATATCCTCATTGCCTAGCTGCTAGGCAATTCTCTTCCAAAGTTGATTATTCTGCTGAAAAAAATTATCAAATCAGCTCATTCAAAAATTGAAAGATGTATCTGGATCTTTTTCTATGCTTTTGCATATCCATTACATATTTTGATGCTGAGATTCTAAATTCACTGCTGCCAAGACATCAATTAAAAAATGAGCTTGAAATATTGAAGCTTGATTTGACTGAAAAGTGAATGGTTTTATTCTTACTCTTTTTTTAAAGAGGTTTCTCCAATACACTTCTAGGTTCTGATTTTGAATGAGCAAGATATCCCCTATGTACATGATGCTTGCTGAAAGATGCCCAACTTGGTTTGAAGAAATTGATACACTCATAACTCAATGCTGTAGCTAATGGTGTTTGAGTTTCGTAACCTCTAATAGGATGTTGTGGACGAGTATGCCGATCATGGAGCTGAAGATGAAAGTGGTGGTGCTTCCAAAATTGAAGGATCTCCAGTTAGCGAAGTGGAGCAGGTAAAAAAGAGTGCATTTGTACATGTGTTAGTCCTTGAAAACGGTGCTACATTGCATTGGTAGGTTTTAGTCATTGGCCAAAATATAACATGCCATTCCTTGTTAATATAGCATGAGGGACAAGAGGATAAAGAGTCAGTCTCAACAAAAATCAAGGATGGCTCTACACATGTGCCCGAAACTGGTCATGATGCTGGAAATGAGGCGTCTCATGATCAACCCATGGAAGAGGTAAGTTTTTCCCCCTGGCTAATGGAAGAAAGAGTACAGCCATGATACTTACCCTGTTCCCAAATTTTGTTGAATGGAGATTCATATATTAAGCTTTAGTTCTTTATATGACTGTCTAACATAGACATCAGTACACCACTTGGCTGGCTCATTTATAATTGCGTTTTAATGAGGGGTTTGCCATAGAATCACCCTCTTCATGGATTCCTTTTGTACACCATTCCTTAAGGTGTTATCTGGTTACCAGGAATGGAGTGGTGGGAAAGAGAATATAAGTTTTATTCCCACTTTATAGTTATTTGGTTGAAATGAATGAAGTGAGAATGAGAATGAAGAGTGGGAATGAAAATGCAAATTACACAGCTTCATTCCCATGTGGAAGCTGGGAATAAAAATAAAGAATGAGAATAATTTTTTTTTTCAAAATAACAATATATTATATTTATTTATTATGTATTAACCACCACCACCACCACCAACATTGGTAGTGGTCATAAAAGAAATTATTATTATTATTATTCTATCATCACTTCTCCTCCACCACTACCACCAGAACCACTCTTCTTCTACTAACACCTTCTATGGTGATGGTATCAATTTTTTTTTTTTAATATATTATTGTTATTCCCATTCTGTTATTGCTGCCATTTCCTCTTTTTCCTCTTACTCCACTACCACCACCACCACCACAATCACCCTTATTTTTTTATTGTCATTATAGTTGATGAAATCATTTTTTTTAATAGTTATTCTTATTCGTATTAAAAACCAGATATTAAAAAATTTAAACTTCATTCTGATTTCTTATTAGTATTCCAAACACGGTATAAGAATATAAATGTTATTCTGATTCCCTAATTTTCATTTTGAGTCCTACATTCCCATTTCAGACTTTTCATTCCCGGTAACCAAATGACACCTAAGTTCTTTAGAAAAAGTTTAAAATATACAACTAGTAGTTTGTATTATAGTCTTGTAGTCATACCACATATTGGGGACACCTGTGATACTGCAATAGGGTGTGGGCCATCAATGGTGTTATCAGCTTGGTGCTCTACATTCACTTGCCATGGGTAAAGCTTGTAGTTCATCATTTATGTTTCACTTTTAAACGCATTTACGATTATGTGGGGCACCTTGGTTGGCTTACTGATAATAAAGACATTAGATGCTTTATGAAATTATTAAGAGTGGTTTTACATGAAATGTCAGTCAAAAGAAAAGGAGTTCATGTATACTATTTATTTAGAGTTCTTTAATAAGTTATGGAATTATATTTGTATATTTCTTGCTGGTGTTTTTTAAGAATCACTGAAATTGCTTGTTGCACATTTAGAGATATCTTTTCCATTTGCTATATTTTAGAATTTGGAATTTGGAACTTCTCTCGAAGTTTCTTGATGTTTCTGGAAATCTTAAATGATGATTTGCTTAAGGCATGATAATCCGACGAAGTTCACCATCCTGACTGCCTTTGGTGGTTGCTCTAAATGGTGTCTTCAGGGGGAAGATGAATCCACTGATCCTGAAGGATTGTCAAAGGAAGAGTTGGGTCGCCTTGTTGCTTCTCGCTGGACAGGAAATTCTGAGAAGCAAACTGAGGGAGTTAGTGATACAAAAGACAATGACCATGAAGACCATGAAGACCAAGAAGAGATGGCTCAGGACACGCATCATGAGGAATATGATGGTTATGCTTCAGAAACTGATGATGAGACTGGCAAGTATGATGATGTTGATGGAGGAGATGATATAGATGAGACTTATGAAGAGGAAGCTCATGATGATGCTACTACTACTTATAAATCTGACTTTGAGGATGAAGTTGAATTTTCAGGTTTGCAACTGTTTTTTTGCTGCTGCTTTTTGTGCTCAGTTGTTTTTATTTAATGAGCTGATATTAAGTACTTGTGTTGTCAGATACAACCTCCCCAGGTAATCCATCTTGGTTGGAGAAAATACAGCAAACCTTTAGGAGCATTATACAAGCTTTTAAATTCTTCCAAACTCCAGTGGACAAATCAGGTGAATTTTAGAACACTTTTTTACTATTTAATAACTTAAACGTTGGAAATGAATGCATGAAAATCAGTTCATCTGTTACCTTTTGACTTCTATAGAGGCTGCCCGTGTACGCAAGGAATACGATGAGTCCAGCGCTAAGTTGTCTAAAATACAGTCAAGGATATCAAGTTTGACGAAAAAGCTGAAACATGATTTTGGTTAGTATTGACATGTGGTTGTGTATGTACCCGGTTGCGGTGGCTGATTTCTATTAGTTAACTGTAAAGGTTAATATTTCAGGGACGGAGATGGAATTCTATTCATTCTATGATCGCTGTTTTGAGAGCAAGCAGAACAAGTCAGCAACCTTGCTTCTGCTAGTTTATATTCCTTTTCTGTTTCAAAGCAGTTCCAGTTGTGATCACTGATTTATCTTACTTTTTGGCAATTGAAATTCACACCTCAGGTATGTTTACAAAGTCTGCCCATACAAACAAGCTTCCCAGTCGGAGGGCCACTCAACAACTCGTTTGGGGTAATGTGTCCGTGGAATTCTTTTTGTTCTTTATCTAGCAGTCTCCCTGCTTCTTTCACATATTGAGGGATCATCTGGACACAATCATGCATCTTTATGCTTTCTAGGGATGCACTCAATATTCTGTCTATTCTTTCATTTACCATGGATATCAATGTCAGAGATAAATCTAAGCATCTTATCTGTCCATTAATCCAGTGGTGGCTTCAAGTATTGTTCTTTTGGGTATTGATTAACGTACATGGTATTTATTCTTTATTTAACTTTTAATTTCTTTTTTCTTTTTTTTGGGGTAAGGCGCTGGGAGAAATTCGAGGACTCATACCGAGTTATGGTCTTTTCAAATGGGGATAAGTGCTGGAATGGGCCTGATAGAAGTATGAAGGTATATACATTTTTCATGCCCGTTTAATCATGTTACGGCAGACTTCTATGTGTCTATAAGCTCTCCAATTTATTTCAATTTACAACGTATTTGGATTAAGAATGAGCACGGACAACAAAACATACAAGTTATAATTACTTTCTTTTGATTTTTTAAGAATGTCCAGGATAAAGAAAATAAGGAAACAAGCAATGCAATTGCTGTAATCGTGTCGGTTACAAGTCTAAGCTTGTTGAAAGAAAGACAAGTTCTGAGTTCATTTCGTCTCTTATCATCATTTATATTTCCTTTTTATTCTCTTGAGTATGTTAAATTGCCAACCAAACTGTTAATGAAAGTGGAACTGAAACTAATATGAACTTGTGTCAGTGAAAATAGTTTGTTTTTTCCATTTCAGTCTAGACATTAAATTCACAGTTGGCTTGGTGTCAATATTTACTTTGAACCTCAAAATAAGAGCTATGAGGCAAATAAAAATAAAGTTCAATGAAGAAAAGACTCATCGCCTTGTTCTAATATCTGCAATTTATGTCCTTTTACAGGTCAGGCTAAGATGTGGATTGAGTAACGAGGTTACAGATGTAGATGAACCAAGCCGTTGCGAGTAAGGACCTCGTTATGTCTTTCTTGTGTGTGATCATATGCTTTCTATTGCTCTCTAACTCTTTAAGCTTCCCATGCAAGGTATGTGGCATTACTTTCTACCCCAGCCCTTTGCCTAGAAGGAAAGCTCAAGGTAATTTAACTTATTTAAGATTGAAACTCTCTACATTTCTGCATCGAACATTCTGATGGATTGGGTGAATGCTGAAATGTGACAGGAGCTGGAAAATAAACTAGAATCAATGAACAAAGAACAGCCACAGAGTCATGATGAACTCTAACTTGTCTGGATGGGTTTAGCACAAACATTCTAGAGGATGCTGACCGTTTCATCCATTCAATTTTGAAACATTTTTAGGGTCATGCAGAGCTTATTTGAGTCGGTAGTGCTCCCGAATTTTTCCTATTCTGGAGCCCACCTTGTGTAACATGTCCTAATTCATTGTGAAGATTTGGGTTGAGGCATGGGAGCAATCATGATGAAGTCCAGCAAGGTTATAACGATTAATATTGTAACACTTCTATTGAACTAAGCTTAGATCATTACTACAAAAATAATCTGGACAGTAGTAGGGAACATTTATGTTGCCTTAGCAGTGGTTTTTTTTTTTTTTTTTTCAATCGAAGTACCAAAATTCATGTAATCTAAGAACAGCCTTGCCTGGATGTCCCAAACCATGGTATCCGTGATGAACATGTATGGCTAGGATTTGCGACTTCACACAGCTGCAGCTGTTCTCAGCAAAATCCTGCAGTGAAAAAAGTACTCCTTTCTTTGTAGGTTTGCAGGCATGACTCACTTGAGTTATGGCCGACCAACTACTGTACCAATGAATGGCCGAAAGGTGTGAAGATTGACCATTACTATTAAATCAAACAAACCATGGGGTGAGGTTGACCATTGAGCAGAGACCAGATGAATAAAAAACTTCAGTAAGAGGCATTGACCGTTTTCGCGGTTCAAATGGTCGGCAGTTTTTCATGACTCTGCCTATAGATTGAGAATAAACGTTGTTTGTTTCCTCCATCAAATTCTATTGAGAATAAATGCTGTTTTTGCTTGTTTCGCAGTGTCCTACGGTTTAAGGCTCTTTTTGAGTGCGAAAGAAATAGCATATTTATTAGAATTTAACAAAAAGCATAAAAGAGGCAGAGTCAGACTGACCCCTGCCCCTCTCTAGAAGCCAAGAAAATGAATGAACGTTCCTTTCTAAAAATCTGACAAACGCCCCATCTACACATCAGATGATCAGAACCTTCCATCAGCCCAAGTCTCATAATTAACCCTAAACCATGACAGATGCATAAAATGAATAATCCAAAAACAGACAGCGATCTTAACCATTATTAAAAACAAGTTGCTTGCATTGCATATGGTTTGTGTTGGATTGAGAGTGGTTGAAAGTTGAACAGGACATTAAAAAGGGAAAGGTGGCAGAAGCTGATGGTTTTGTTTTCTCCATGTGGTACCAAAAAATTTCTATGGGTGTCTCATCTGTCATGTGCCCTGTGTCCTGACCAAAGTCCGAAACAAACAGTCCTTAACAAAAAGCAAGAGTATTCCTCGATTGATTCCCATTTCCCACTATAGAAATAAGGAAAAGGAAGGAAAGGAGGTCTTGTCTTGTTACTCAAGAAATATATATTACTCTACTATTTCTTTTTCTTGGTCTCTTCATTATTAATTAATTAATTAATTATAATTTCTTATTCTCCGTTTGGTTTGTGCAGTCACTCCTCTTCTCTTCCTATTTCTATTCCTATATATATATATATAGATAGTGTGGCGGTATTAGTATATACACACACCCACACCCGCATTGACAAAGTTTCCATTTTTTTTTTTATATATATATATATATATCTGTTCATCTCCTTCCGAAAAAGAAACGATGAGCAGCAACGGAGGAGGAGAAGCAGTAACAGCAGCAGGAGGAGGAGTTATGGAGAAGAGGCCAAAGACCAAGATTGTTTGTACTCTGGGTCCCGCATCAAGATCTGTCCCTATGATCGAAAAGCTCTTGAGGGCTGGCATGAACGTTGCTCGCTTCAACTTCTCTCATGGATCTCATGAGTATCATCAAGAAACCCTCGATAATCTCAAGGCCGCCATGGTCAATACCGGCATTCTCTGTGCTGTAATGCTTGACACCAAGGTCTCTATCTCTCTTTTTGTTTTTTTTTTTTTAAACGTTATATTCCTTTTCCCATCTGGGTTTTCCGTTTATTATATTTAATTATTACTTGTTTATTGTCTGATTCTGCTGGTATCTACTTATTTCGGAAACTGGGTATTTTATTTGTCTGACAGATTTTGATTATTTTCATTTCTGATCCGAATTTTTTGGAGGCGCTGTTTAATTGTTTGTTTCATTCCATGCAATAAGGTTGTACATGTCTGGCTTTTGTTGGTTATTTTGTCTGTTTATTCCATGTTATATTCTGGGCTTTTGTAGCCTTATATCATCATTCATGTCCTTCCCTTTATTGTAATTTTCGGTGCCAAACTTTGGATCTTTTGGTCCATTTGTTTTGGAGTTTTCTTTTTCTATGCTCAAAGCCAAATCTGTTGTGCTGTTTGGTTTTTCTGTTTTTTTTTTTTTTTTTTTTTGAACTGTTTATTTCAGTACTACACCAAAAACATGAAATAAATATTACACCTGCTTTTACTAAGCGTTAATGTCTCTTAGTTTTGCTGCAATAAGTTGTCTTTATGCATAGTATAGGGTGTGACTGTTTATTCTGATCCACTATTACACCTTTGGCTAAATAGAAAACTACGAAAAATAACTGCTTTATATTTTAACCAACGGAAATTAACATGCTAATTTGCAGCAATTGGGTATTAACTCGTAATCTCTTTAGTTGCTGGGCTACAGCTTTCGAGCACAGACTGAGATATGACTGAATCATGTCTGTTGTTGTTTGTGTTGGTTTTGGTGAAAAACCTTTCTCCATCATGGTCTATCTGGAATTTTAAAAGACTCTGTAATGTTTAGCATGCAGATTGTGCTTCCCCTGTCAACTGTTGCCGCTTCTTGGACTTAGGTTTTCCTTTTCTCTTATTTTTGTTTTCTTCTGGTCGATGTGATTGGTTTATGATCCATATAACCAACCCCAACTAGTTTGGGATTAAGGCATTGTTGCTGTTGCTGTTTGATTATTTTTTATTTATTTATTTTTGTGTTTCTAGAAGGGGAATTTGTTCTGCCATTCTAGTCAATTCCTGAATGTCCAAAAAAGCCCGTGGCATATGAATGATAGTACTCAATTTTCGTTTTCATTATAATCCCATACGAAGTTGCTAATTATGCATCGTTAATCAATTTCTTGTTTGTGATACCCAATGCAACTGTGTTTTAGTGACTTTGTTCATCCTAAATTATAAACTGGACCTTAATTCCTTGAGCCTTTGGTCGAACATCAGTGAAATATAAAATAGAATGAAGCTAAATAGAGCGTGAAGCATCATCTGTAATAGCTGAATGTTCTTTTGCATGCCATTTAGCCATTACCAGTGTCAAATTTTAGGAGTTCAAAACCAGGCTTTTTATTTAAAAATTAATATATCTCAAAGACACTTAATTTTATTCATGTTGTTCACAGGGGCCAGAGATTCGTACTGGGTTCCTGAAGGATGGGAAACCCATCCAGCTCAAACAGGGTCAAGAAATCACCATATCTACTGACTATAGCTTAAAGGGTGATGAGAATATGATTTGCATGAGCTATAAGAAGTTGGCTGAGGATGTAAAACCTGGAATGGTGATACTTTGTGCAGATGGCACGATATCATTTACAGTATTATCCTGTGACACAAAAGCTGGTTTGGTTCAATGTCGCTGTGAGAATTCTGCAGTTCTTGGTGAGAGGAAAAATGTCAATCTACCAGGAGTTATAGTGGATCTTCCAACCTTGACAGAGAAGGACAAGGAAGATATTTTGGGTTGGGGAGTTCCCAATAAAATTGACATGATAGCTTTATCTTTTGTTCGAAAAGGCTCAGACCTTGTAGGTGTCCGGAAGTTGCTTGGAGAGCATTCTAAGAACATCCTTCTCATGTCAAAGGTATGTTGATTACATTGATACCTAAGAAAATATTTACTTCCAGGTTTTATTGGTAATCAGAACCAAGCATTTATTTAAACTTTGGTTCATGTGAACTGTTTTGCTATTTTGCTTGGCCTGACTATGTATTGGTTGATAGTCAAACCTTATTAGGAGATAGAATCCATGCTAAGAACCTGTACAAAAGGTCATCATCTGCCTTTAAATTTTTTAGCAAATCCCTACAAAGTAATAGTTTTAAAAATTCAACAGTTATCTTTGATGTTCAGATGGTTGCTTTCTGATAATTTATTGTCATTTTATTTTTCGTTTGAATTTTTTTTTGGTAGGTTGAAAATCAAGAAGGAGTGGCAAATTTTGATGATATTTTAGCAAATTCAGATGCATTTATGGTTGCGCGTGGTGACCTTGGAATGGAAATTCCAATTGAAAAAATTTTCCTTGCACAGAAAGTGATGATCTACAAGTGCAACATCCAAGGAAAACCTGTTGTCACTGCAACACAAATGTTGGAGTCCATGATCAAGTCCCCCCGACCAACTAGAGCAGAAGCCACTGATGTTGCCAATGCAGTTCTTGATGGGACCGACTGTGTGATGCTGAGTGGTGAAACAGCAGCTGGAGCTTATCCAGAACTTGCTGTTCGGACCATGGCCAAAATATGTGTAGAAGCTGAAAGCACGCTTAATTATGGAGATGTTTTTAAAAGGACTATGGAACACTCACCTGTGCCCATGAGCCCATTAGAGAGTCTGGCCTCATCTGCTGTTAGAACAGCCAATTCAGTAAAAGCATCTCTTATATTGGTTTTAACCAGGGGAGGAAGTACTGCAAAACTGGTGGCTAAATACAGACCAGGCATGCCCATTTTGTCTGTGGTTGTCCCTGAGATTCAGACCGATTCCTTTGATTGGTCATGCAGTGATGAAGCTCCTGCAAGGCATAGCCTTATATTCCGCGGGTTGGTACCGGTTTTATATGCAGGATCTGCTAAAGCCTCTAATGCAGAGACAACAGAAGAAGCTTTGGATTTTTCGCTTGAACATGCCAAGGGGAAGGGACTGTGCCGGACCGGGGATCCTGTGGTGGCTCTGCACCGGGTTGGAGCTGCATCTGTGATCAAGATCATAACTGCGAAGTGATGATTGAGTACCCTGACCATCTATTCTACTTTCATTTTTGGGGGTCTCATGACCATCTATTCTACTTTCATTTTTTGGGATCTCATGAATCAGGATGAAAGGAAAAAACTTTGCTAGTAATGCTATTTGGTTTTTGTTTTGCCTTCTTTTTCCTCCACCTTTCGTTCTCTAGGAATGAAAGAAACTTGGGTCACTATTTATATCGTTTTCTTGAGCTCGTGGTTTGAAAATTATATCCTCGAGCCGCAATTCGATGGCTGGAATTTTTGATCTTATGGAACCCTGTTATTGATTTTGGCCGTGCAACCAAATTGTTGTCATATCTTACTGTTTGCATGCAGATCTTGCTGTTATGAATTTGACCTTCAAGCATTCGGAGTACAGTCTCATCTGTTCGATTTTGTGAACTCCTATGGAAAATCATCTTGTTTTGTGCTTTAGTTTAAAGAACCACGAACCATTCTTTCCTTGGTGGTTTATTTCAGCTGCTGGACATTCAAATCTTCAAATACTCGAAGAAAACTCTTCTTGTACTACCGAGGTACTGCTCCAGACGCGGCCTCTGCTTGAGCATTCTGGATGGAGTTCTTTAAAGAACATTTTTCTTTTTCAAGGGTTAACAGCCAAATTTGCCATGGGATCCGTGACCCAACAGATGAAAATCCCGGCCAAAAGAAGACTTACGCCCCTCTAGAAACCAGAGAGGTTCAGTATTTCAACTCGGAATAAAATATTATTACATTGAAATAGCTATAATTCAAACAGAATATTCAACAAAAGACAATTCACATGGGTTTAACGTATGATATCGAGGAAAAAAGACGGTTTCATCAAGTGTGTAAATGAAGTGGTCGACCAACTCCTTTGTCTTAGCCAGCATGATCATCCACCCCTTTATTTTATTATGTGCTTAGCACAATCAGCTCAAGCAATGCTGAAAGCCTGAAACTATGCCATTCAAAGTAGTCCATTCACTCATTGAGCAAAGAAAACAAATGCTGCTATTGAGCCATTCAAAGTAGTTTTCGAAATAATTACACAAGTGAAACAGCAAAAATATATAAAAAAATCTTCATGTAGGCAAAAAATTTACAAAAACCAGAGCGATTAAAACACATTTTGTTCTTCCGAGATATAACCTTGAGCAAGTAAGATACTATGTACATACGCAAGGCAGCACATTCAATCAGCATAGAGAACAAGAAGCTAATATAGCAACTTAAGAAAATATACTCAATTCTCATCTCTTTGAGAAGAGCTTCCAGGTGCATTCCCTGGAGATGATGACACTGTTGAGGATGGATGGCTTCCACCACCTTGAGAACCTGATGAAGATGAAAACAAGCTATTGAAAGGCCATGGAAAGGAAAACCTCCTCCCATGTCCACTTCTACCTTCACCGTCTCCCTCTTCAAAACTAATTTCATGAGTAATATTACTTTCACTATTGGTATTCTCACTCTCCCTCCGATCATCGCTATTTCTAGATCTCTCAGAATCAACCTTGGACTCGTCAACAGGCAACTGATGCCTGCAAACTGGACAGGAACTATGAAGCTCCAGCCATGGCAATATACAAGTACTATGAAACTTGTGCTTACATGGCATTTCCCTTGCCTCAGTGCCAACCTCAAAATCATCCAAGCACACCGAACACTGCAAGGGCTCCTTGATGGTGACAGTAGGCAATGCCTCAATGGCTTCCTTTTGTGCGGGCGGAGTTCCATATCTGTTAGGATCATTCTCTGCCAAGTGCTGCAATAACAAATCCAAGCCAGGTCCAATGAAATAATCACCCAATGACCCAATTGGATTTTGATTCTGGTTTTGACCGTTGTTTGAATCATAAGAACCCTGAACAATGATGGTTTGATTAAAAGGATTGATCAAAATGACACGCTCCCTTTCCCTGTCTCTGTCTCTTTGCCTATCCCTATCTCCTTCAGAGTTCTCTGACTCAGATGCCACGATTCCAGCACGCATTCCTTGACGTAACTGCAATATGGTAGCTGAGTTTCTTCTGCTCCTCCTCCTCCTTACGAAAGATTCAATTTCATGCTCAAGATCAGTCTCTCTTCCATGGTTTGCTTCAACATCATCACTGTCGTCCTCATCTTCTTCATACTCCACCCTTCCAAGCCTTCTACGGCGACGAGAATTTCCCATCATACCAAGCAAGATTGGAGCCCAAAGTGAGAGGGCACGATCAGATCCGAATTCAGAATCAGCGTACTGATTATCCCCTGTGCTACCACTCATTTCTTCAATGAACCCACTTTGGCAAAAAGGGCATTTGATCTCAACTTCCATGACGGGATTCACCATTTGGTAGCACATGTGGCACCAGTACCGTGCAGCCATTGCTTCCTCCATTCTTTGTTCCCCCTCCTTCACCAACAACCACAAACCTTCTCTTATTGTCTCTGCCATAACCAAAACAATACATCGAAATAAGTAAATCTATGCATAAGCAAGCAAACAAATCAGCAGCCTGTTCTCACAGTAACCAATATGGAAAAAAATAAATAAATATATTTCAGAAATGCACAGATCTAACACAAAAATGCCACCACATCATATAATTCTCTATCTTTGATAAAGCTCATTGTTTAGCAAACAAAATCACAAATTTCAAGATCTACAAAACAAAGGCAAAAAAAAAAAAAAAAAAAAAAAAAAGATCTCGACCAGATGAAAAGTTTTAAGGAACCCATCAAAAAATTGAAATTAGAAGATTAAAAAGGCTTCATATTTGAAAAGAAAAACAAAACCAAAATTGTTGGGACAGATCCCTACAAAACAAGCACGGTCAAACAAAAAGAAGATAATTAAAGAAATCTCCTTACCAAAGAAAAATCCAAGGAAAACCCAGAAATCACCAATCAACCAACCAGAGGGAAAAAATACACCAAAATAAATGTGTTCCTGTATTCTTCTTCAAGGCAAGATGATAATTGCCTTTTTTTTTTTTTTTTTTTTTAACGAGCAAGAAGCTGAAGCTTTTATGAGAAAAAAAAAAAATAGAAAAATAGAAGTAGGTAGGAGGGCGTATATATATACAAAGGCCACAAATTTACGAGGCGGCAGAAGGATCTGGAAGGATTGAGCAGCGAGAAGAAACACAATTTATTACATAGAATTTGACCCAACAACAGCTGATTATCTAGCAAACTTTCAAAACATATAACGTAGGAAGGTATTTGACTTTGACACGCAAACACAAGACAAAACCTACACATGATAATATATTTATGACTGTATGAATAGAATAATCAAGAAAGAAAGAAAGAAAGATTAGAGATTTTTACCCAAAATTCTTGGTCTTTTATTTTGTTTTTGAATGGTAAAATTTGGTGAAGAGAACAGAAGAATCAGTCTCTAATTATTATTATTATTGCTACTATTATTATTTGTTTGGTGTTGAAGAGGAAAGTGAGGCGATGAAAGGGAAAGACGAAAAACGAAGAAGAAAATGAGAACGAGCACCTTAGATTCTCATTTCCAATCTGCCATTGCCATACTAGACAGACAAGGAGAGGACCAAACAATGGACCAGCCAATATCTCATTCTGTCTCTTTCTCAATCATTCAATACGGCAGGGATAATGGCACCATCCCTCCTTTCACTCTTCTAATTTTATGGATTTCATCCTTTTACTATAATTTTTTTCAATTGAGTCCTTCTAGTCGAAGTTTTATTACAGAACCGGACAGACAATCTAGTGAATAATTAAAACATAAAAAAAAAAAAGAAATCTAAATAGAAAAATAAAATAGTAGTTTCTTAACGATGGATCAACCAAAATTTTTAAGAGATTTCAATATTCAATTATTTTTTTCTCAGAAAGTTTAGGATTTTAAAAAATAAATGTGAGTTGAGAGTTTAATTTTTTTTCGTTTTTTTATTTGGCCTTAAATTAAGTTTCTAAAATTATTTTAAGAGATCAATTTTCAAGATAAAATTACACATTCCATCTATTTGTTGGCATGGTTTAAAATATTTTAAAATTATTAGTTATATATATACATACACACTCAACCAACGGATAATTATGATTTTGGACCGAAGGATTCTAAAAGGATTTAATCAGGAAAAGAATTTATTAGGAGGAGTAAATCCACAAAGTTTGAATAGTATAAGGGCATACGGTGCTATTACCCCCTCGAACACCGCGTCCTTTTCTTTGCTACCACTTAGTCAAACTTTTTTCGGTACTTAGCATCTGTCTTTCTTTCTTTCTTTTAACCTTGGTTTTATGACGCGTCATGAAGTGGCTACCTCTGATTGGCTCCTCCTCTATTCTTTGCGTTAATTCATTCTGCCTTTCCAATTCCCGTCATCCCTTCTACTTATATCATATTAAAACAATAACTGAACTAATTAATTAATTATTAGTAATAGACATTAACGAAAAAGCACCTAGAAAAGTAATTAGATAATTTTATTTCTTATCATATTATTATCATCGGCAGGCACTTAATGTACAATGGGATGGGAAGACCAAAAAATAATAATAATAATAATAAAAACCTATTTTATCGTTAATTAGGTTATTAAAAGCAATTATGACCTGAAGCTAATTAAAAAAAAAAAAATACTTAGGGGCATCCGAGGTGATGGACTCTTTTGGGCCAATCTGGCTGGGCTTGCTGGATCTAGGAAAACATTACAAATAAGTAACAGTGACGTTAAAAACTTTTTAACAATGAGATGCCAAATCTTCCTCTCTAAAGTTGATTTACTCAGTATACTGGTGATAAAAAGGCCAATTGCAAACATGTAAGCAAGTATCTGTGGAGCTCCTTGAGCTCGAAGCATAATTTCAACTGTGTGTGATTGCCGAAACCGAGAAAACATTCAAACCGAACTTCTATATAGATGTCTCTGATCCCGAATTAGAGTTGACGTACCTTCAGATCTGCTCTAACTCTCTGAGTGATGAATTTTCATATAATGTTACTAAAAACAACAGACTACAAAAATTGAACACCTTGAGATTTGGCAATCTAAAGAGCTAACTTATCCTTTTGGGAGCAACTCGCCGAATAAAATGACTCAGCAAATTTGAACACAAGATCTCCTCACCAATCCGAGTTCGCCTCGTGCAAAACTGCATTAGCTACTCCGGGGTAGCCTTAAATCCTGATCAAGACCTAAGACAATCCTCAGTGCCAAAATCCTTGACATTATATGTACCCAGGAAACTGCTTCTCAGGAAGCAAAATTTTGACATTACGCCACCCACAGAAGAAGCTCAAGTTGTGGTCCTTGGGACTTTGGGATTGGCAGCTATCCTCTCGAGAAGGAAGGGCAGGAATAAAAGACTGCACAGGTATCACTCCCGCATAAAACTAGCTGCATGGCCCACATCAAGGGAATTAACTTCGAATTTGGAAAAAGTAAGTACTGGGAGGAATATGAGGCCAGAATTTTCACAGGTCTGTAATGTGATTCAAACAGTTTGAAGCTTGCTTGTTTCACTCTCCTCCTGCAAAGGCTAAAACTTGTCAGAACGAACACAAAGTAGCATACCAGTAGACTATTGTTTAAAAATCCAAGCAGCGCAAAATAATTTATTGAAAACTGGTATGTTCAGTTCAATCATGAAAACAACTACAAAGGCGAAACCAACAACTTAAACTGTCTTTGGTATGAGACCATGAGTTTTGAGTATTATGATGAGCCCATGAGCTTTGAGGATCACAACTGTACAATGACTTGCTTATATGAAATGAGTTGACTGACTCAGAAAATGTGTTGCATGAATGACCAGTAAGATGTGTCCAACTACAGTGTAGCCTCTATGACACTGTGAAACCATGAAGCATTAATTAACTGCTGTGTGTTGATTTAGAACCCTACATCGAGGCGAAACTGACAATGAAATCAGGAAACTCTACACTTCTGATTGCTAAGGCAAAAGTACCCTATATACTTATTTCATGTAGACAATTTAAGAAGCAAGGCATTCTAAACAGGATTGCAGCCTAAAAAACTAAAGCTATCTGGGCATTGTTTCCATGGACAAGGAAAAAAACGTATTAAAGGCGGTACACTCCAGCAGAGTATTACATGACATTTCCAAAGCACAAGATTACATTATGTTGTCATCCAATTCAAAATTTCCACACAGATATCCTCTTCCAGAAAGTCTATAAATTCCTTGCCAAAATTACAACATGGTCCTTAAGGGCAATAATTTTACTGGAAGTAAACATAGTATAAATCACCAGGTACTTACATCCACAGCTTGAAAAGCTCTGCGTATGGTCACCTTCACCTGAGAAGCTTCAGCACTAGAAGTAGATCCGTTGTCACAAATGCCAGAATTTCGATCCTACAATTAAATAACACAAACCATGCAAATTTACATACAATTATTCATTCCTTCCAATGTACAAGGAAAAAAAACTATAAAAGTTGAAAAACCAAAAAAAAAAAAAAAAAATGCATGTAAACGCACAAAACTTCACACAGTAAGAAATTCCTGGACTCTTTCTTTCAGGTGTTACAGTGGAGCTTGGTCATTTTTCTTGCGATTTTTTCCTTCACGTAACCCAGGCACTGGATCCCTGCTTCCCTTTGGTCAATCTTATCTGGAAAGCAAATATATCCTCCAAGGTTAAGGCCTTCAATTTATTTGGTGGTTCTCCATGAGATTAGGAGGCCATAGATTGGCATGTCTCCAAATATATATTTTATGTGCCACAGCGTGAGAGGATGCATAGTCATCTTTTCTTCATTGCCAAATATGCATTTCAATGCCTCTTTAGGAGCCCTAATCTCAAGTTCAGCTTTCAATTCCCTTGAAGGATGCCTTCTCCTTCACGTTGTGATCATTTATTCTCTTCCTCCTAATAGCATATTCTTCTTTCATCCAAAAACAATGTGCCATAAAATACTTTTACACGAGCATTAGAGATGCATTTGTATTTAAACTCTATTTTTAATGCCTTCAAGATTATTCACAACTATGCTCAACCAAGTCATTAATACATTCAAGACAACATATTAACCCTTCCAAATTTGGATGGAATGGCTATGGTGGCGCAGAGGAAAGAAAAAGGTTATCCTCTTCCTTCCTTCAATGCATTTCCATCCAAACGCATGGATAAAAACTGCCAACTTTCCCTACCAACCTTATCCCTTTCACTTAAACCAAAACAGGCATAATATGTCCATGGGCAAGTCATTGACAAACTCTCTTAGGTAAATCAAAAGTATTATGCAAAGGTAAAAGAAAAAGCATGACAAAAAAGAGAACTTAGTATAGCAAAGATGTTGGGAGGCGAACATAGGAAAGGCATCAAGTGCAAGTTAAACGAGTAAAGAAAGTGATACAAGTAAGGTATAGCCTACCCTATGGAGACATTTGCTGTCTTGTCCATCTTCAAAGAGAGATGAGTAATAAGCTGGATCATAAATGGAACCCCCTAGAACAACATCAGAATCTGAGCATTGTCTAGCTACAGCAGCAGGAGCTGATGGACTGAGAAAACTACTTCTTAAGTCGAAATCTGCTTCTCGAGGAGCAGTACTATCTATATACGGAACCCCCAATCTGTAGATCTGAATCCATAACAATGAGGATGACAACCTCACTGTAAAACCAATGATTTGCATTGCCAAAGTGAGTTTCACTGAAAAGATGAAGAACATTCCATGGTCCTCTGAGGAAATGTTCCTGCACACACAACACACAAACAGATAATACTTTCAATCAAGACACAGGTTACAGTAAGAACCACGACCATTGCCACATAAAACGAATAAATCCGCCATGCAGTACTTAATTTATTATAATAATAATAATAATAAAGGAAAGTAATGGAGAAAAAGGTCGGTACCAGATGGGGTGAGAGAAGAAGATGAACCAAACAATGTCAAGGAGAATAGAGGAGAAGAGGAGGACAGCGTAGGTGCGGCCAAGGCGCTGACTGCTGCTCTCGATGGCAACGAGGGCGAACAAAGAGATGGCCAAATCAATAAGCAAGACGCCGTTGTACAAAGCTCCAAGGGATCCAATCAATGAGCAGCCAATCTACATATATCGTAAATAATCATAATAATAATTAAATTCGAATTGCCAAAAAAAAAAAAACAAAATGAATAAAAATAAAAAGAAGATTTAGAGTAGTAAATAAGCAAGCTAGAAAAAATAACCTGAATGTAAATGAGAATTAGGGCTAAATATTGGAGAGAGTCGTAATCGCGAAGCCAAGTCTGAAATCGATCTTTGAAGAAATGAGCACTACCACCATTACAACAAAACAACATCTCTATCATATACTACAAATACTCTTCTTCTTCTTCCTCTCATACAAAATTGAGAATTTAGAATTGAAATTATTGAAATTATTCTCCTTTCTTCTTCCTTTGATAACAATTAACAAATAGCCAATCCCAAGAAGAAGAGTTTTATTTTATATAAAAAAGAAAAGAAAAAGGGAAATTGAAACAGACTACAGGTATCTATCTACCTATCTATGTATGGAAGGAAGGGGAGGGAGGGAGTTGGCAATTGGAAGTCCAGTCTAAGGATGCATTGATTTGAGGAAGAGGAAGAGAAGGAGACAGAGAAGGTTTTTTTAATTATTATTACTATTAGGGAAAAAAGCACAGCACATCACACCAGCTTAGCTTCATTCATCTTCATTTTCCTTTTTAATTTCCCCTTCCTTTTCGCCTTCTCTTTTCGTCACCCTTCTCTCTCTCTCTCTCTCTCTAAAAATAAATAAAAAATAAACGTTTTATTGTTATAATTATAATTATAATTATTATCATTTTATTGTCATTAATATGCCACAGCCTCCGCATATGCCGTTTCTCTTCCTTTCTATATATATATATATAATCATTTTCTATGTACATGCATACTCATCATATGTTTTCTATAAATATAAAAAATAAAAAATTACAGGTAATTAGAGTGTGAAGAAATAACCATAAAAAATGGTTAAATGATAGAAGTTTAAATCACATTATTTCTCTTTTTAAATTCAAAGCATTAGCAAATTATCATAGTATGTTGATGTTAGTAATAGCACACACATACACTTACACTAGAGTAGTCATTTATTTCTTTAATTATTGTTGAGAATAAATTATAAATTTTTTTTTATTTTTTAAAAAACAAATTAACAAGTTTGTTGTGTTTGAAAAACTAATTATTTAGTTTATTGATCAGTTTTAATTACACTTAATTTAGTATTATTTTATTTCATAAAATGTTATTTTTTCTCACTAATCCTTCCATATTTTTTATATAATTTCTTGAAACAAAAATATCAAAATAAATTGAAAATGAGTGAAAATCACTAAGTTATAAGAAAATTAAAAATATAGGGAATAATTTATAATATACTCTTATATATACACGTGTGTGTATTATAGACAGTCAGTTTTTGGGCTTCGTTTGATAAATATTAGGTTGGGCTTGTCTTACCCTTGGACTTCATTCTTTTAGTATTGTGTATATATATATAAATATAGTAAGTTTTGGGCTTCCTTAGGGAAATCTTGGGTTGGGCATGTCATACTCTTCGGCTTCGTGCTATTACTATTGCGACAGCGGGCAGAGGAGGGCTGAGCATGAGAAGACGGCGTCCACACCTGGTGGCCAAGAATACCAGTCAAGGCGGAGGTTCTTCTTCCGTTTTTGCTTTGAGCCAAGGCTACCCTCTGCTTCTGCTAACAAAAAAATAAGAATACAACAGGCAAGATGACCACTGGTGAGGCTCCTTGCAGCAAGCAAGCCATAATTAATCAGAGCTACAAAACTGTCTGGCAAGCTCCATTCATATGTTGGCCTTTGGGAAAACGAAAAATAACTTGAGATTTCTCTATTCCATGAGGATTAAAAATTGGCCATCGGGAAATCCGTTTATTTAGGAAAAATAACTTTCCGAATTCCATGAGGATTGAAAATTGGCAAATCGGGAAAACTTGAAATTTCCTATTTCTGCAAGTACTAGAAGTCTATAAATACCATGGAAGATAGCAAGGTTTCAGCATTTTAACTAGATTTCAGTAAGTACTCCATTCATATGTTGGCCTTTGGGAAAGCTTATCCTCTCTAACTCTTCCACTCCAAGGTGTCTTGATTCCCTCTTTATATATATACATTTAGAATTTCATTCAATATCGCCCATATGGATACTCCAAGATCACCCCTTCAACCTCCAACTTGTAGAAACCATATCACTATTCTTAGCATTGGTGGAGGTGGAATAAGAGGCATTATTGCAGGAACTATCCTTGCCTTTTTAGAGTCTGAGCTTCAGGTAGAGTATAGATAAGAAATTGGGTCCTTTTGACACCTATATTGCGCCTTAAATAGACATGCAACATCATGCATGTTTTTGTTTGTAAATATATAATTGTAATGTTTATTTATTTTTTCACACACATCACAGTTTTATCTCCTGTATATACGACTGTGACTGAGTGTTTGTTTTTTAGAAACTGGATGGTGCGGATGCAAGACTTGCAGATTACTTTGATTTGATTTCTGGAACTAGCACTGGTGGACTCGTGACTGCTATGCTAACTGCCCCAAATGAGCAAAACCGCCCTTTGTTTGCTGCCAAGGACATTAATGACTTCTACCTTAAGAACTGCCCTAAAATCTTTCCTCAAAACGAGTAATAATCCTAGCTAATGATGAAGAATTATTGCAATGAAACTGTTTTTTTTTTCTTTTTCTTTTTCTTGAAATTGCCAGGTTACTGATTTAGCATTCTTCGGCAATAGATCTCTATTTTCTTTCGTTGGAAATAAGTTGAAGGCTTTGATAGGACCAAAATATGATGGGAAATTCTTGCACAGCGTTGTCAAGGAGAAGTTGGGAGATACACGCTTGCACCAGACCTTGACTAATATTGTGATCCCTGCTTTTGACATCAAGCAACTCCAGCCAACAATCTTTTCCAGCTATCAGGTAAAAGTTCCTAGCTACATACACTCACGCACATCTCTAGAACTTTTTCTTTCAAAATTTAGAGATATTTGCCTTACAATAATATGTCGCCGTCTTCATCCATCTATATGGTTTCAGGTTAAGAATAACCCATCCACGGATGCCCTTTTGTCTGATATATGCATTGGAACTTCAGCAGCCCCAATTTATCTCCCTTCCCATTATTTTGAAACCAAGGATCCATCAGGCAAAGTTACAGAATTCAATCTTGTCGATGGTGGTGTTGCAGCAAACAATCCAGTACTATATATATATGTTCACTCTTTATCAATCTTCAGCATCTTGAACTTGCATGAACAAAGAATCTTTATGATTTATTTCTTTTTGGATTTTGAACAGACTTTAGTTGCCATAAGTGAAGTTTCAAAAGGAATCAATCGAGAGAATCCTAACTGCTTCTGCATGAACCCAAAGGGATATGGCCGATTTCTAGTCCTGTCTCTGGGGACTGGCACAACAAAATCAAATAAGAAGTATGATGCAGATAAAGCAGCCAAGTGGGGTCTCTTAAGATGGTTGATTAGTGGTCATTCTACTCCATTAGCGGATGTTTTTACACAAGCTGGTGAGCACATGGTTGATTATCATCTTTCTACGATTTTTCAAGCCTTCGAATTCAGGTTCGTATCATTTTGTCATTAATTATGTACGTACCACCAAGCTAATCATACTAAATAAATAAGTATATATACATGCAGGATGATACATTGACAGGAACACTTTTATCGGTGGATGTTGCCACAAAAGAGAATTTGGCGAATCTTGTGAAAGTGGGTGAGAGATTGTTGAAGAAAGCAGTATCAAGGGTCAATTTAAACACTGGAGTTTTTGAACCACTTGATAAGACCACAAATGAAGAAGCTCTCATAAAGTACGTACATATCTCTAATATTAATATTGTTCATGTCAAGTACTTCTCATTTTAATTTCATCCCTCTATTATTATTTATTTATTATGATTTTTGTTGGATTGTGTAGATTGGCAAAATTACTCTCAAGAGAGAAGCATCTTCGTGAGGCGACTAAGTCATCAGTTAAAAATTAAAGCTGCTGCAATTAATTTGTCCTTGAGAATGAACATAATTAATTAATTAATTAATTGACTATTTATTGTTTTTTTGTTTTTAGAAAATTAATTAGATGAAAATAAATTTGCAATAAATAATTTAATTAGTTACGTTGTAAGGTAGTCTTCGCATATATATATATATATACCATATGTTTTTTTGGAAGCCATTCTCCTTTCATTTTTCTTAATTAAATCACATACTTTGTCTTTTAAAATCAAAATTATTGTTTACAAAAATAGATAATGATTTAAGAAGAAGAATAAGTTGAGATAGCATTAGCAAAATAGCATAGCATGTTGATGTTATTAGTAATAACTAGTACTTCAACTAGAGTACTAATCAATTAAACAATAAAGTTCAGACACAAATTAGATGACCAAAAAATAAAAAAAATAAAAATCACAAGAATACACTTATATTAAAAATAAATAAATAATTACATGAGTTAATTATAAAAATACATTTAATGTATCTTTTTATCATGTTGATGGTTAATACTTTTGCGTTGAGCATCCTGATTGTCTTAAAAATATAAACATCTATTGACTTAGCTAGAGCAACCACTTCAATAAACATACTATTAAAAGCTAATGCCATCTACTTACAAAATGAAACATACAATATTATCTTCACATCCTTAAATAAATTTTAATAATATTTATAAAAAAAACCATAATTATAAATTACCTAAGAATTATTTGGAATGGAGATCCAAAACAACACACAAATTTAAAAAGTTGGATTCTTTTCAATGAAAAATAAAACATTAGCATTTCTAATTACATATTTGGACAAAAAAATATAATCGTCAATAAGGTCACTTGTATATGTTCTATGCTCATTGTTTCTCAAAACCTAAGTTTGATAAAGTTCTCACACAACCCAATGACCTCAACCAAACCTTTTGTAACTTTGTTGAAATTCTCTTTGAGAACCACGAGAAGAGCATGCCGTCATACCATTTGGATGGTTATTCCTTCTTCATTGTCGCGTAAGTATATATATATATATATATATATATATATATATATATATCTATTGATTTGGTTGTAGCAACCACTTCAATAAACATGTTATTGAAAGCTAATGCCATCCACCTAAAAAATAAAATATATAATATTATCTATCACATCCATAAATAAATTTTAATAATATATATAAAAAAACTATAATTATAAATTACTTAAAAATTATTTGAAATGAAGATCCAAAACAACACACCTATTTAGAAGATTGGATTTTTTTCAATGAAAAACAAAGCATTAGCATTTCCAATTACATATTCGAGTAAAGAAATATAGTCGTCGATAGGCTTACTTGCATATATGCTATGTTCATTATTTCTCACAACTCCATGCATGTCAAAAAGAGGTTTTGAAATAACTGTACGTATTGTTACTGTTATTATTTACACATAAAAAAATTTAATTAAAAAATATAAAAAAATACTTTTCAAAAAGCTCAATTTAGTTTTGAGAGAGTGAAATTTACAAATGAACATGAATTTTTTGTGCACTGTCTTTAAATAAACCAATAAGTATAAATTTTCTTGACAAAAAAAATATGAATGTTAACAAGAAAAAGTGATATAATGGAAAATAATTAAGAGTATAAAAGATTAGGGCGTAGAGGTTCGTACTTAAAGCAATGAGCACGTAGCCCTGCGGTCTGTAGAAACTTAGAAAGAAGGATTATTGAAGCCATGACTCTTCGATTGTCAAGAGATACATCTCTGCAAGGCAAAGCAATGGTCTCTCAATCAATTTCGTTCCTTTCGTTGGAACCTTACAACAAATGCTGCTAAGCCTAACCCTTAAGAGTCTTACAACTATGGTTCCATCGACATTACTCGCACCATTAAGCTCATAAAGTCGACTAGTAGAGCAGGTGATATTATTTCAATTCTCCAAGTCATTTTGATCCGAATCTGATTGCAACTTATTCAAGCTATTGATATTATTTCAATTATTATTAAAGTATCAAGTTCAGGCACAAACTAAAGACAAAAAAAAAAAAAATCACAAGAGTACACTTATATTAAAAATAAATAATTAATTACATGAGTTAATTATAAAAATACCTCAAATGTATCTTTTTACTATGCTAGTGGTTAATACTTTTAACTGGAGCATCTCGTTTGTCTCAGAAACATACAGATTTATTGACTTGGCTGTAACAACTACTTCAATAAACATGCTATTGAAAGCTAATGTCATCTCCCTACAAAGTAAAACATACGATATTATCACATACATAAATAGTTATTTTAATAATATAACAAAAATAATAATTTTAAATTACTTTAGAATTATTTGGAATGAAGATCCAAAAACACACAAATTTAAAAATTGGATTCTTTCTTATGAAAAATAAAGCATTAGTATTTTCAATTACATAATAGGAAATAGAAATGTAGCCGTCGACAGATTCACTAGCATATATATTATGCTCATTGTTTCTTACTTAAATCACATATTTTATCTTTTAAAATCAAAATTAATTTTTACAAAAGTAGATCATGATTTAAGAAGAATAATAAGTTGAGATAGCATTAGCAAATTAGCATAGCATGTTAATGCTATTAGTAATAATAGAATGCTATTCCATTAGAGTAACAATTTATTTCTTTAATTATTATATAAAGTAAATTATAAATTAATCTCTGTATTTTTTAGAAATGAATTATTTTTTTTTCTTATTTGAACAACTAATTATTTAATCCCTTAACTTCTTTTGATTATGCTCAATTTAATATTTCTTTGTTTTATAAAATGTCATTTTTTTAATCAATCTTTTCATATTTTTTGCTTTTTTTTTTTTTTTACTTTTTTATTTGTTAAAATTAAAAAAAAAATAAATAAAAAATAAGCGAAAAAAACTAAGTTACAGAAAAAAAAATTAAATGAAGGAGAATAATTAATTCATTTGTTGAAACTTGAGGAACTAATTTATAATTTACCCTATATATAATAATAATAATAAGAAGAATAAGAATAATAAGTGTTTGGGCTTCGTTTGGAAAATCTTGGGTTGAGCTTGTCTTACCCTTGGGCTTCAAACTATTACTTTAGCGACAGCGGCAAGAGGACTGAGCCTGGGAAAGAGGAGAGTTTTGAAGAAGAGACAGAGAAGTGAAGAAGAAGAAGAAGAGTAGGCAGCTTGCTTAAGGTTTGATCGCAAGAAGAGGAATGGGAGAAGAAGAAGAAGAAGCAAAGGGCAATGAAGTAATATCGAAGAAGAAGGCTTCGTCAAATACGAATAGCTGGGAAGTAATGGAAGATCTGCAACGAACAGTGAAGGAATCAAAGGATTCAGCCATACGCTCTGCTCTTTCTTTCCAACAATCCTCTTCCTCCCATCTTCGCTCCTTTCAGGTCTTTCTTTCTTATTTTCCTAATTTCAATTCCTTCTTTTATTAATAATAAATTAGGTATTAACTATCATATTCTAATAATCTACCTACTGCCATGACTCTTCTTTTCCTTTTTTTCCCCTGTAATTACATATATTAATCAGTTCGATTATCCTTCTTTTTTTTTTTTCACTTGAATAATAATAATTGATTTGAAAAATGCAATTGCACTGCAGGATAACGTGCCAGAAGCCATTTCCAAGTTGAAAATTTACGAAAATGTTTTCTTCACAAAAATTAAAGGTACTTTTGTCCGGAATGAGAATGTATTATCATTATTATGGGATGGATTGTTATTGCTACATTGTAGTAACCCATTTGGTTCAAATCATACACTTTATTTACCTCCACGCCATCTTTATTGTAACTTTATTTTTTCTCAGAGGAGTTGATCACTGCCAAAGACCACCCAGTTGCTGCCATGGGATTTACTCTCACAGCCGCACTCTTCCTTATGCCAGGTCAGTGGTCACCTCTTCTTCTCTACTTCAATTTGTTTTTGGAATCACATCGATTTGTTTTCGGAATCTAAATAAAGATTGCACAATTCCTTCAACACCAGAACAAATTTTCATACATGATTTTTATACAGTTCCTTATTTTTCCAACCTCTTGCAGCCCCTCGAAAAAAAAAATGATCTTGGGTTGTACCAAGTCAGAAAACAAGTGGATTTGTCTTTTTTTATCCCGTTATCCCCCACTACTATATAAATATATCTCATCCTATGTGCAAAAATCAGGCACAGTTCTAGTGGGAAGCCACATCACACTGTGCGATTGCACATTTGGGCTTCATCCTAGAATGGAAACTGCCTTAATAACTAATGATTTCTCTCAACTATATGAAAAAAAGAGGCGTTTTGTCAACTGTTATATGAGTTCTATTCATTTAACTTACTTAAGGAAACATTTCCATGTAGTTCATTGAAAACAGGTTCCCACTCTTCAATTCAAATTATCCTACTACTGCCACAAAAATTGTAAGGCATTTCCTCTGCATAAAAAAAAAGAAACTTGAATTCGATCTTTGAAATAATCAACTCAAATAGATGCTCATCATAAGCTTTTTTCTTTTTTTCCTCCTCTATTATAATGAAAAGATTTTGCTTCCACTTCTCATCTAATGGCCATTCGGTCATCAAACTGGTAATTTCTATTTGCTATATCTGTCACGAGCTTGAAAATTCATGATCATATAACATGAAGTGTATGTTTTGTTCCCTAATGCACCATAACATGATCTGATACTTGAGGAGTTTCATGCAGGGCCAAGAAGGTTTTTGTTTCGGAATACATTGGGTCGATTTCAAAGTGAGGAGGTATCTACTCTCTTTATTCTATACAAGCTTGTTTCATTCGGTGCCCGTTTTAACTTGTTACCTTGCAAAATAAAAAACCTGACATCTGGCTTTATGAATTTCAAATAAAAACTTGAAGTTTACTTCTTATATCTTGGATATGTTAGTCTTCTGTTTATACATGTACAGGCACAATTTCTAAGAGCAGAGAAGAATGTAAAAGAGTTCAGCTTTTCTGTTGGTTTAATGAAGAAGGAAAGCAGAAAATTGCTTGAAAGGGCAGCTTTTGCTGAAAAAGAAATGAAAAATGGCCGCACTGAGCTCCTGTAACATGACTTGTGATCTCTTATATGCTGCTATACCTTCATTAGTTATCTCGGTTTTGTTTATTCAATGCTTACATTTGTAGGGATGCTGGAAGTCAAATTCAACGTCTTGCTAAATCAGTTTACAAGGTTGAAACCGAAGCTGCAGGTGTGGATGCCAAAACCTTTTTTTCATTTTTCTTTGTTTTCCAAAGCTACAGATGAGAGTGTTGCCTTGTTCTTGGGGCATTCTTCTCATTTTAGAAATGATGGGTTTGGCTTTCTTTTCCTGTTTATATTATGCTCTACCTAGAAACCTGTACTAGAGAAGGTATAGTTTGTGTTCGGCAATGGAATGTTTGGAAATGAGACTTTTCCACTGAATTGTCTTTGTGGGAGAAGGAAATCTCCTACTGTGACTTATTGCATCGGACATTAGCAAAATATAAAATGATGGCAGGAAAACTTTGATTTTCCAGGTTGAGGTATGTGGTACTTATGACTTGAACGAGTTGCTTGTTATCCATCAATTATCAACCAAGTAGCCAAGAATAAGTCATCAAGTCCAGTATTCATCCCATTTTAATAATTTTTCACTTTCTCTGGTTCTACTTTTATGTTTTTGCATTAGGTTTGATGGATGTTCTACGAGAAGTCCCTGGCAGGGATTCTTTGAAACTTCGAGCTGAGGTGAGTCTTAACATTCTCTTCTATCTTTTGAGGGCGTTTGTACATTCTCCAGATTGATAACCCTGTTGAAGGTTCTCTCTCTCGTATTTTATTAGGTTGCTTCTATGACATCTCATTTGAAGCGGCAAAGGGACGCACTTGACAAGCGGATCATGAAGATGTCTGAACTAGGAATTCCTGTTTGATAGCTTTCATCTCCTGGATTTTGTTTATTTCAGTTTTCTTTGTGTCTGCTGTTCTGAAATTTTATGGGACAACATAACGTGTTTGGGAAATAGAAGTGACGGCAGGGTTGGTATTCCAGCGTTGAAACCCCCTCCTGCTCACGCTTGATCAGCCATAAATTAAACTCTCTGTCTGTTTCGTCCTGCAATGCCTAATGGCAAACATTCGTTTTACCTGGACATTCTCAATACCATTTTGTTTTTATTATTCAGTTATCCATCCACACATGATCTGTTGGTAAAATATTTAGTAAAAGAGTCCCAAGCATCATTCTATTGACTTGTGGAAGCATTCGGCATTTCTAAGACAGATTAAAGTGCTGTTTTATGCTGGATTCATGGAGTAAATTAAAAATTAGTCCCCCTAGTTTTGCAAAACAAAAAAGATGTTAAACTATAGTCAATTTAATATTATTTTATTTTAAAAGTTTGCGGAAATGTTGTATAATCTCAGGGTAGATCATTTTCATTCCACTGTAGCTGGACCTGGACTTATTATGGTAGTCAAGCTGTGCTCCGACCATGATTAAGTTACAATTAAAATTAAAAATATAGGGTTTAATTAATTAGTTATTAAAACTAAAGGAACTATATAATTCTTTTTGAAAAACTAGAAGGACTAATTTATAATTTACTCTGAAATCAACCTGTTGTGAACCTCAATTTACACTCTATTTTCGGAAATGCCTTTTTCATCTGTTAACAAAAGTTTTCTAAGCCTAGTTCGTAAGCTTTGAACACTATTTTCTCATCTGCGTGAACAACTCTGGTGGTTTTCCTGTTCCTCCTGCGTTACCACTGAAACCAGAGAAACCATCAATTCCTTGTTGGCTGCCTCCTGCATTGCCCGAAAAGGCTGAGAAACCGCCAGTACCTTGTTGGCTGCCGAAAGCCTCAAATCCACTACCTGTGCAGATTTATATTACAGATCAGCAAAGACCTTGAATGCATTTTTTTTTTTTAAAAAAAGAGGAAAGTAAAATATTAGATAAAATGCTACTTGCTGTAGGAAATCCACTACCAGAAGCAGGCACTGCTGCAAAGCCTACACCGCTCGAGGTTGCTGGTGGAAATCCACCTCCGCCTGAAGCCAAACCAGCAAAGCCACTGCTGCCAGAAGCCACACCACCAAATACAACACCAGATGCTACACTACCAAATCCACCGCCTGCACTAGCAAATCCTACAGCAGATGAAGCCAAAGCAGTAAACCCACCACCTGTGGATGCAACACCAGCGAACCCGCCAGCAGTTGCAGCACTTGCAAAGCCACTTGTTGAACTACTAGTAGCAAAGCCACCACCAAAACCACTGGTAGAAGCAAAACCACTTCCAGGTAAGCCAGTTCCAAAATGTCTAGACTGCCCAAAAGTGCCAAGAACTGATCCCAGAGCTTGCTGTCCTGGTCCAATCTGTGCTGGCTGCCCAAACAGACTTTGAGCAGGAGCTTGAGCAACTGGTCCTGTACCAAAGCCACCAGCGAATGCACCCATATTTGTTGGTGGAGACGGTTGGGAAGGCTGTGGGGCTTGGAAGTTGAAAGAAGCAGGTCGAAAGAGCTCTCCACTAGGAACAGTCATGGTCAACGAAGAGCTCGCTACATTTGATACTGTGCTGGCAAATGGACCACCAAATGGATTTGCTCTAGGAACAGTAGCGCTAGGGGTTGCACCAATCCCAAAACCTCCAAGATTCCCCAAATTAAGTTCATTTGTGCGGCTATTCTCAGGAGCCTCCTCCTCCATTTCATCCTCTTCTGTAACTGCAACATCCAAACTTTCATTCTTTCCACTAGCACTATCCGAGGTTGAGATTGGTGCTCCAAAAAGAATATTACTAGCAGATGGCAGTTGAGGTTGAGAATTCAGAGCCATAGTAGATGCAGGACTTCCAAAGTTGTTCAAACTGGGCTGGTCTCCTGATGCCAAACCAGTTGATAGACCTGTGGTAAGGACAGATGATGCCAGAGGATCAAGCTTTAAGCCAAATTTGGGAGGCTCAGGCTGTGAAGCAGTTGTAGGAACATCCACATTTGTTTTTGAACTAACTTCACCTGGAGGATGCGGAACCTCTGTTTTGGGAGCCTCTGATGCTGTAGGAGTGACAGAAGGTGGACTTTTCCCAGCAGGAGGTTGGGGCACTGTTTCAAGTGATTCTGACACTGAAATTGTAGGAGTAGGGTTAAAATTAGGTGTAGTTTTGCCCATAAGAGGCTGAATCTCTGTTTTAAGGGTCTCTGATGTCAAATGTGGAGGAGTTGGATTGCTAGAAGGTGGAGTTCTCCCTAGAGGGGGTTGCAGCTCCTTGGAAGCCACTGGGATTACAGGTGGAATCTGTGAGGGTAACACTGTCTTAGGGGCCTGAAAAGATGATGAACCAGAAGAAGCAAAAGCTGGGGAGAAAGAAGTGGATGACAAGGATGTTGAAGGAACCACTCGATTAGAGTCAGCGGTGACCTTAGAACTGGTTAAAGTTGTGCTCAATTGCGTGGCCGAAGACAAGGTTGGTGCAGATATTGATGATGGGATGCTTGCTGATATATTGGTCATCAGAGATGATGAAACTGAAAGCGATATGGAGACTGCTGGAGAAGATGAAACTTTTTCGCTAGGCTGGCTTTTGCTAGTCGCAACATTGATCTGAGGAACTTTTCCAGGTAGGGAGGAAGCCACAGGAGAAGCACCTAAGGAAGCGAATGGATGCTCATAATTTTTACTAAAAGATTCAGAAAATGAACCTTTTGTGTTTGCTGGTCCAGGTTTTACACTTTGAATTGCTGACTTTACAAGTGCATTACTGGTAGTGGAAACAGGAACCTCATTTGGTTTCTTTGGAACCAAAGATGTCTGTGTTGGTGACACTGTAGAGACTGCTGATTTTTTATTTAGGTTAGTTTCAGTTTGCTGAATAAACCTGTTCTCATTGATCAAAACAGAATCAGACTTCTCAATGTGAGAAAACATACTCGCTGATTTATCTGCAGTCATACTGTATGCTTCCCTGGTCTGTTTTTCTCTTGCTTGTGGTGATACCAGGGATGATGAAACTGATACTGTCATTGCATTGTTACCTTGCAATGTAGGAGAACGCAATGCCAGAGGCTGTGATGGTGGTGGAGGATTAGTGGCCCATTTAAATGGAGCAGTTTGTGTTTCCTCAAACCCCTGTTTGGGGAATCCATACTGAAGGCCTGCTTGAACATCAAAAAGCAATCATCAGTTGCTTTTACTTCCCATGCTTTTAGATGATAAGCAAACATGTCGAAAGTGCTGCTTTATCTAAACTTAGTAATAGCTCACCTTCGCTTTCCAACGGGTGCAACAAGGATGACGGGGATGACCAGTCTTCTTGGTGAACTGCAGACCTGTCCCCGAATCTAGGACTAAAATGCTGCCTATCCTTCAACAAGGACGATTTATTCACATTTTTCTTCTGAGTTTCTTGCAAAAGCACCCTTTTTACAGTTGTTTTTGTAGGCTCAAAACTAGCCCAGCTCTGCAGGAGGGTCATAAGAGTAACATGCATGTTATAGTTCACTAAAAAGATCTCTCAGCACACTGGATGAGATGGAATACTTACAGATAATTAAATAGAAGCTAACTTAAAAGTTCTAAGAAAATTGAAAGAGGAATTTGTAGTTCTCTTTCAAGTTAAAAATGCTTCTGCTAATTTAGCACCACAAATATTTTAGTAAAATTCTTAGTAACACACTGAAACTAAACGGAATCTCGTGAAGTTGACCTTAGTGGAGCAACCTTAATGGAGTCCAAACATGCTATATGAAGGTTCAATCATTGAATCTTTTCCCATTTCTTCCATGTTTAAGTTTTGTATTAAATCTTTGATTTTGTTTCAGTCTCATAAATGGTTTACCTCGGTGAGATTATTTACTTATTTTAAATGTAAGTTGCATCATCAAAAAGTCATGCAAAGCTCTATTCATATTTCTAATGGAACAGTTTTGGTAGATTGATTCTATACTTCAAGCAAAATTTTGGCTATCGGCAAAACCAAACTAGCTTCAGTGAATTGAATACATTAGACTCAACTCGACATCTAAATTTCAATTCCAGTTAGTTGGGGTTGGCAAGTGATTAACACTAGAGCGGTGTGCATCAAGATAGATAGAATTACCTGATCAAGTGAGTCCCTCCTTCTCCTTAAAGTTTCTGAATCACTTGATTGGTGTCTCCTAGACTTACCTTTAGTGGCAGCAGAACCCGAAGAAAGTAAAAGTTTCTTCAATGAAGGGGTATCACCAACTTTTGTTGCATCTGGTGAGCTAAAAGAGGCATCATAGGGGATTCCAATTGTATCAAAAAGTTCCTTCTTTACATTCTTTTGTTTTACTGGTGACTCTACACTCAGCATGGACATTTGTTTTGAGAGACATTCAGAAAGCTGTTCAGCAGCTGCTAACTGTGAACTCATTGTGTTTTGCAAACTATGCAAGGACTGAAGGTGTCTGCAAACAAAATATTTCAAAATTGCTGGAGTTAGAATAGTAAAGAAGCCAATTTTCACAAAGCTAGAATTAGATTGCCTTACTATCTACTTGATCATGAGTTTCCAGCAATTGTTTGATTTAAGTAAAAGATTCTGCAACCTATTAACGACATGGTAGATTTTATTTTCAAATTTCATCATCTTTTCTGGGTTTGGTATCAATACAAAGGTGAAAAGAAACAAGCGATGGAGCACACTGCACTTACTGTCATATACAAGCTAACCATCTACTACGAACTATACCTTGAAGGTACATATCTACTCTGCAAAGCTCTCCGATCTGTGTGAAATCCAGCATTTCCACCAAAACTCTGAAGTTCGAGGCTATTGAAATGTCTCTCCAATTGAATCAACTGATTAGTCAACTCCTGTAAAAGGGATTAAGATATAGCAATGTCAAGTTGGATAAATCTCACAAGGTAATGACAACTGATAACCAACCTGATTTAGTTTTTGTATATGCCGCCGCTTCAACTCAAATTCAGGGCTCAACTTTTGGCGATTCCAGAGTTCCCAATATTGGCTATCAGAAGCTTGCTTAACAATACCATCTACATATATTTTCCTCGCCAAAACTGAAAACCAGATGAACAACAACATGGCAACTCAAAACAAGACACCAACCAAATAATATTTGGATGAGATGTATTATACCACTTTCACTATAATCCTGAAAAAGTACTTGTAGCAGATTGTAGCAATTTCTCATTCTTTCATTGAAATGATCTTTATATCAATATGACTTGTACAATTCTGCTTTTCAGTTACTGATAGTTCCCATATTAAGACATTTTATCTGGAAGAATACTTTGCACAAGTTTTAAATTCTTCAATTCAAGAAAATGAATATGATATTAGCAATATCAAGATATTTGCAAAACTGACAATACCTTGCACAGTTTTATCTAGAAGATGCTGGATCTTTCTAATTTGCTCATCCATCACACTCTGGAAAAAATGAAGACATCAATAATCACAAAGCCCCTTTATACAGTATACATAATGCACAAAAATGCAGATGCATACAGACATGCAGGCCTGAATAGATCAATTACATGCAAAATCATATTTTTTGCATCTGAATTTAAAATGTCATTGTTTGTGGATGGAAGAAGCTCACTCAAAAGGTACCCCTACTCCAAAGTTCTACTCTCAAGATTCATTTCTTCTTAAGTTGTTGAAACTGTAGGAAGATAGTTTTGTAGGTGGTTGCCTTCTCTATTTTGCTATTATCCTATTCTAGGAGATGAGAAGACAAGAAATCTCTTTCTCCCATCCCATTTTCGCTTTTGATTTACTGACTTAAATATGAAAGAGCCTATCATTCTTTCTAAAGGGGGTGATTTCGCAATGAATACAGCAACTCATAGAAAAAATGAAAGCATATAAACAAATCAAACCTACAGTTGATAATGACATATCATAGCTGAACTAAGAAATAACAATGAACCATCACCTTTGATGTTCTGCACTTTTCAGAAAGATTTCCCATGCGCTCCTCCAAAGCTTCAACTGAGCTTCTCAGAAACACAGTGCAGGCATCCCTGAAACCACCTGTTTCTTCAATGCATTCCAGAAGTTTATCCAACTCTTTGGCCAGATCTTTAATCTGAAGCAGAAAATTTTCTTAAAGGACAATATAAGGCAAAACAAGCACTGCACTTGGGAAAATAAGAAACACCTCATCCCCATTCCCCAAAAGGAATAGAAAAAGAAACAACCAAAATCTAAAAGAGGAACACAGACACACACACACATACACATTTATGTAGACATGCACATACATGTGGGAAATAGCCAATCATGTAAAAAGTACACATAAGAAGCTTAGATATGCTGGCTCATAAGGCTGGTATATGCTTGTGAAATTTACACAAGACTAAACTTTTTCTTGATTAACAGAACAGAAATTAAGATTAAGAATTTCCATAGGTACTATCTCGCAATGCTGCCTGTCAATTTTTCCTAGGCTATAAAATTACAAATAGGAAAAGTTATGATCCACATCAGACACTTGAAATAGCATGACAGCTGTAAAAAACCTTGTCCCAAAGTTAGACTAGAATTTTGTCAGTAACATTCAGCATAAGAAAAATATACATACATTACAGAATTGTTTTGATAAGTTTGGCTCAGAACTCCTCAGGGATGAAGCTTTGTAGTCATCTTTTAAAGACTGGGGTCTGTGGATTGGAGACCTTGCTGAGGGAAACTTTTCATGAGATGATAACTGTGAGCTTTGTAAGGTAGGCAATGACTCAATTTTCCCTGCCACAATTGAACCTCTGTGTTGCCCATTAAGTGCTGGTCTAACAGAAGCATTGGTAGAAGTTGGTTCCCCAGCAGTATCCTTCAAGCGAAAAGGTTTACCACCAAGGTCACCAGGAACATTCGTACCACCAACATGGACATTAATTTTATCAGGTCTATTCCCTTGAATCAAAGTAGAAGTTGAAAATGAAGATCTGCTTCCAGAAACCTCTGAAAAGACAACTTTTCCACTCGACCATGACTGAGATTGGGCAGTAGATCCAATTCCCCTAGGAGGTTCCTTAGGAAGATCAACATTGTTTGATAAGTCCTTATGACTTGATAGGCTGTGGGCATTGGTTGAAACCTTTCCAGAAAAAGCAGATCCAGATCCAAAGCCAGCAAATCTGTGAGTTTCTGTAGGTCCCTCTGGGAATGAGACCTTCAAAGATGACTGCCCTAATTTTGCACTTTGTTGCCCAGAAAGTGATTTTAGTTCCAGTTTTTTAGGAATATCGTGTTTGTAGGATATTTGCTCACTAACAAAGGCAGTCATTGAACTCTCAGTCTTGTCAGAAGGCACAAGATGCTTCTGTGTAGGAATTTCACCATGTTTATTAATGTTTAGGTCCTTGTTGCTCACATGTTGCATTTGAAGACCCAGAGCCACCTCTTCCAATGTTTCTTCACACAACCCAGAAGAAAGATTAGACAACTGATCACTTCCTTCAGGTTCCAAAGAAGCAGTATCCTCTTCCTCATCCTGAAGGGCAGAATCAACCTCTGGGAATGAGGCCTTCAAAGATGACTGCCCTAATTTTGCACTTTGTTGCCCAGAAAGTGATTTTAGTTCCATTTTTTCAGGAATATCGTGTTTGTAGGTTATTTGCTCAGTAACAAAGGCAGTCATTGAACTCTCATTCTTGTCAGAAGGCACAAGGTACTTCTGTGTAGGAATTTCACCATGTTTATTAATGTTTAGTTCCTTGTTGCTCACATGTTGCATTTGAAGACCCAGAGCCACCTCTTCCAATGTTTCTTCATGCAACCCAGAAGAAAGATTAGACAACTGATCACTTCCTTCAGGTTCCAAAGAAGCAGTATCCTCTTCCTCATCCTGAAGGGCAGAATCAACTTCTGGTGGAACGTTAGCTCCTGTGACACTGCAATAAAAATCAATTCAATGTCCAGAACATATTTATGCAACATAGAATAACATCGAGACAATTTACGTTGTGAGCAAAAGAGAAGCAATTTAGATGCCTAATTTGAATTAACAAATCCTATTGTGTAAAGGGGAGGTGCAAATAACATCATAGAGATTGACCTTGCAACCTGGAACATAACAAGCTTTCCCTCTAGAGTAACACACAAGAGTACACAAGAGGGTGAAAGTTCTTTCTGTTCTTCAACCCCCACTTCAATTTTTACTTTTCCATAGAGGGAAACCTTGTCAACACAGAGCCCCATGATCAAATTATCATCACCGCTATCTGAAACAAAGCCATTTTAATACTGCTTAGAATAATTGGTAACCACAATCATGAAATGAATGAAATTCGTAAAACAGCACAAACAGTTGCAAACAGTAAAACAAAAGTTTCAAAATAACCAAGACAAGAGACAAAACATCTCAGCCGAAGCATACTCTAACCTCAGCTGATGACACATTCAGATATTTTTCCTTAAGACAGATAATAAAGCTATGATTTACTGAATCCCTAGTCCATTTCACACAATCAGCACTATGATAAAACAAAATAATCACTTGGTCCATCTGTACCTTGAAGCTCAATTCTTGGCATACACAATCAACACTATGACAAAACAAACTAATGACTTGATTCATCAGTACCTTGAAGCTCAATCCTTGGGAGCCACGTATCTCGTTCAATATCAACGACTGCAATTTTACTCATCTCATCCTCCACTGACCAACCAAGTAAAACAATGTGCTGATCTGTGTTCTTCTTGTTAGCTGTAATTGCAAGCCCACTGCAATTAAAAATTCAGATAAAAAAATCAACTTAAATTATCACAAGTCCATTCAAGTTTAAACTTGCAGATGTTAAAAAGACATCAGAGGCATTTCTTAATGAACCCACATATGGCTCGTAATCAAACAGAGAAAAACTGGTGGGCAATTTATCTATGATGAGAAAAAAATTTAACAGATTAAGAATATATGTTTCAACTTAAAGACCACAGAAGATTTCAACTCACAATTGATTATAAACCAAAAGAAGTGTGAAGTCATAACCAGCACAAAGGAAATAAGGTCTTAAGCCCTTACCAAAACAGGTTACCAATGGACCCAAATAAAACATTTCTATTGACTGTTGTAATTGCACACAAGGTATGAATTAGATTATGTTCTGGTTGATCCGGATTGAAGGAAGACGGAATATGAAAATATGTCCCACCAAGCAAAGAATTTCTAGTAACAAAGAGTATTTCCAATTTTTAGTATTCAGAAAATTCACAGTTTTATTTCACTACATGGAACTTTAATATTTCTATCTGTCAAATTATGTCACCATAGCTATATTATGTAAGGCAGACCTTATGTCAAAGATTTTAGCAATGAAGTCTAAGAAAATAGTAATTACCTAACTTTAAGCCCAGTTATATGATTACAAACTGAAAGCAATCCCTGTGGTTGCTGTAACTATCAAGTATATAGAAAAACTACATAGGTATGAAATTAACATCACATACCATTGTTCTAAATAGTTCAGGAATAAATAAGGTCCACCTCCATGGGGCACAATATCGTCAACAAGGCCCGAAAATAGATCATAGAATGATAGCACGATTGGCTTGGAAGAAGCCTGCAAAATAAAAATTCATGAATTAATGCTCAAACAATCAGTATACAAAAAAGAATGGCAATGGCACAACTTTGGTAGCCTTTCTTCCTTCCAACTTCAACAAAAGGACAAGGCATCAGCCCCAACAAAATAAGACAGAAGGAATCAGATGCAGAAACTCCCTGAACTCTAAACCTATGTAACCCTCCATTAATTCAGGTAAAAGTTCAAAACATACAAGTGTAGTAACAACTCACAAAAAAACTTCACCATGTCAGTAGCTCATAGGTATAATGAAGAAAGCAATGATAATAAAGTGAAAGCCTAATACTTATAGTCAAGTGGAAAGAATAATTAATTACATCAGTAATCTTGCCATCTTTGCTTCTGATTACTTGAAGAAGGTAATCTTCTTCCTTTCCATCTGCAGTTTGCTGAAAGCATCCCACAATTATACTATCATTACGTACCCATCTGATAGAATCCACTGGTGCAGTTACAAAAGAAAAAGTTTTAGTTCCAGAACTTAACAGCAGAAAATATTTCATGTAGATAGATAAGACCTTCTTTAAGTAAAAAGTCATGAAAGTCAAAATGACAAATTCATTTACAAATGGTACTCAGAAGCCAAAAGAATTTTGTATACCCATTCACACAAGGAAATTCTTTTTTTTGTTTTTTTGTTTTTTTTTTTATGAAAATACAATAATAAAGTTTTGACTTAGATGATATTATTATATGAATCAAACCACGCTATAAGAAGAGATAGTGAACTCTAAATGAAGCATTACAAAGTAAAATAAACTCCAATCGCCCCTAACATAAGAACCTAAGTGACCCGATTGCTAACAAAGACAGAAATTGACTGCACCTTTGGCCAATACAAAATCATTTCTCATCCATCCAAATTATTATCCATTAATCTCTGCATGTGTGTGGCATGGGACCCGACAATGGAAGTAAAATGTGTAGAAAATACCTTTGACAATGCGGTTATCATCAGAATCAGCAATCCATGACTTGAATGGTAAGGATATGCTGAAAGTTTCCTTGAATTTTGAGGACAAAATGCTGAGAATACTCTCTTTTGCGACCGCAATAAATTTTCCTTTTAGACTCCATTCAACTATCAAAGAGAGCAAGCCCAAGTAAGCATAATCACACACCAGTAAGAGAACCAAATCAGACACCAAATTTCTTATTGGAAAAAAAAATTTTCATTTTTTTAAAACAGCAGATTATTGGAATTAGGGCAGGTTTCAGGCAAAGGCATAATAACATTACAAGGGTTCATTGTAATAACCAAGTCAAGCAATACTTTCACACAATAAAAGCTTTGGCATTGATGAAGATGTTGGTTTGGACCATCTAAATCCAGTTCTGCATTCTAGTGATGATCTAAAGGCTTCTAAATATATACAAGCATATATCGCATTTAATAAATATTTTCGCCATAAAAAGCAAGCATACCGGCATCAACATTGTCCATTACGTGTTTAAGAGTAGGGGTGCCAGAAGCAAGAGCACCATGATATAGCTTCCCCTGATTTGAAATAACAAGGTAAGAATTGTCCAGTCTCCTTCTCCATTGTATGCCCTTGACAGTAGATGACGAATCGGTCAGTGAGCAGGAGAAAGACGGTTTTAGGTCCTGCAAAAAACAACAGATAATAGAGCAAGTTTTAATTAACTATAAAGTTTTGAGAGGAAATTGAGTTTAGGTTTAGGGGATAACAAAAAAAAAAAAAAAAGGATATACTTTATTGAGAAGGGAGTGGACATTGAAGAAATGAATATCAGCAGCAAAGGAAACAGCAAGAGTGGAGTCGTCAGTAGAGAGTGTCAAAATGTGAACTTTCCCAATGGGAACATCCACAAGACTGAGGTCTTGAATGGAAGAAGAAGAAGAAGAAGAAATGCTGCCTTTTTCCTTAGTATCTATAGCGGCATCCATGGCATCTTTTGTCCTCGCAACCAAAAACCCTAAAAATCCATAAGAAAACAGAAGTTAGTTAGTTGATTATATATAGAAAAAGAAGAAAGTTGAAAGAAAAGAAAAGAATACCGGAGGGATGGGCGAGGAAGATGAGGCGGTGGATTTCGGAGAGAGCGAGAGGGCGAGAAGGAAGGTAGTTGCTCTGCGGATGAAAAGGGGAAAAAGTTTGGTCTCTGAGGATGGGAATAGGTTTGCCGATCTTATCGAAGTAGTAATCGGTGGTTTCAACATGATCTCCTTCTTCAACTTCTTCTTCTTCGATTACCATTACTCCTTCTTTTGCAGAACCCATAATATTAATACCACCAATTTCTCTCTGTCCAACAGCAATCTCAACCACTATTACGCTACTACTAATGTAGAAGAAACAAAGTGCATTTACAATTTATTTATTTAAAGAGGATGAAGAGGAGGAGGAGTGGAGGAGGCAAGAAGAAAAGAAGGAAGAAAAGCACTTCTCCTTCTGGCTGGGCCTAGGCGGGACGCTGTGTCTGCACCTTTCTTAGCGTATTGTAGCAGCTATGTTCTTTGAATGACACGACGTCGTTTAACTTCGTTTAACTCTAATATTTTGCCTCTTTACTTTATTCTAGTCTGGCCTGGGCTAGACAGAGGGAGAGAGGCCCATTGGTCTTTTTCTTTTTGGGCTAGACAATACAATGGATGAATGGATGGCCCTCTCCACCACAGCGTCTTTTTGTTTATTTACTTTATTCTAGTCTGGCCTGGGCTAGACAGAGGGAGACAGGCCCATTAGTCTTTTTCTTTTTGGGCCAGTCAATACAATGGATGGCCCTCTCCACCACATCTTTTGACTCTAATCTTTTTTCCTTCCCTACTTTACTCAAGTCTGGCCTGGGCGAGATAGAGAAGGAGAGAGGCCCATTGGTCTTTTTCTTTTTGGGCTAGGCAGTACAATGGATGGTTGGATACTTGGATGACCCTCTCCCAAACTCTGTTCCCACCACCACGGATTTAGAATAGACCTCAAACTTCCAAATTTCACCATTTTAGTCCTACATTACAATTGCAATCTAATTCTTTCTTGACGAAACCTCAATTTATTTAATCCCTAAATATAAAAGCATATTTAATCGAGTCCCAAACATTTCAGAAATTTCTTGATCAAATCCATTGACCAAAATTTATTAAAAAATGCCCTGTTTTATTGCTTAAGTATTCATTCATGTAACATGTAAAATATCTAGAAAAAAGGGACCCAATTGAGAATTGTGGATAATATTTAGGACCTAACGGATAAATGCTGTAGGTTGGGATGTAATTGAGAATAGATACATACGTCAGGGACTAAATTGAGGTTTTTCTTTCTTTCATAAATAAATCCTCGATCTATGTTGCAATTCATGAAAATCCAGCTAAGGACAACAGACAGCATTGAACGAAGAACATTTGGAATGTAATTCACTTTAATGTCCAAGTTTCAAGAGTATACATATCAGAATTTTGCATTTTTAACCATTTTTGGAGACCGAACCGCAAATTTTTAACCATTTTTGCACACTTAGAACAAAAGGCCATTGATCATGCACTGCTCATCTTTTCACTGACATTTTTCTTTTTTCCAAGTATTCATGTACATCTCCAGTCCTGATCAAGTCATTAGATTATGGCAGCTTTTACCACTGGTGTTATAGTGTGCACTTTTTGTGGCGGAGGTGTTGCCGTTTTATCTGAAGTAAATCTGTCAAGATGCATGGTCGTCAAGATTCAAGAAAGCTGTGAAGCTTTTACTACTTGTTCAATGTTGCATTTACCAATACATTGATTTCAGAATCTTCCTCAGAATTATGTGCCCATTAATTACTCTTATCCCGCCCCTTACCCCAAGATTTGACCAGTATCAGTCCAAAAAAATCAAGCATTTCTACATCAAAGAGGCTAAGCATATGGTTAATCTCATGATCAGTTGGATGGATTGTAATTTTCAGTTGTTTTATTTGAAGAAAGCATTGTAGACATAATCAAGAAAAGGCTTAAAAAGCAAAAAAAAAAAACCACACTCCATACTCATTTTCTTTATAATTAATATCCAAGTACATAATTAATTGATACGAGATAGTATATAGGAAGCTGTGTATGGATTGACAGCAACTCCTAATTACAACTCACCCAATGCCTCAGCAGAAAAAAGACTGCCCTTGGACATCTCTTCATCTCCTCTCTTTGAAATTAACTCTGTTCCAAATATGAAACCACACATATATCCCTATTGCAATTTGCAAAAGGATTCTTCTGTCTTTGGGCGGGTGAAAAGCCTCCGTTCACCTCAGCCAAAATTGAACAAAAGAAGAGACAGACAGAACACACATTACACTGAGCTCAACTTGCTACGCTAGAGGTTATCTAATTACTATAGCTAATAATAGGAGATGCCCTCTGCAGGCTGAGGAGACCCCCTTGATGGAGAGGTGATTCTCACTGCAGTACTAAAGTATATTAAGCCCAACAGCACCACGAAAGTCAGGCAAAAACTGACATGTATGGGGGGGCATTTTCAAAAGAACCCCACCATGCATGTCAAGATTAAAACATAATACATATATATATATATATATATATATATATATATATATATATAAAGGAAGGTCACTAGTTAAAGGTAATAGGTAAAAGTACTTGAAACTGTGATTTTGGTTAGCTAGATCTTAATATATCAGGGAGTAGGATTGGAAAGTTAGAACTGGCTTCCTGTGTAGGTTTGGCCAAAAGCCCAGGTGGATGGAGTCACGTTGTTGGAGACCACAGTTCGTCCATCACTGGTTGTGACCTTGAAAGAGAGGGCTTGATTATTCAGGTTGGAGTTACTCTGCCAGTTCTGGCCCCAGTTCCTAGACATTGCCTGCCAATTGCCTTTACTCCCTTTTATGGAAACTGCGACTACATCACCAGCTCCACCCACATTGGTTATAAGAACCAGATTGAAGTAGGAGTGCCCATTAATCGTGAATCTGATAGCACCACTCTTTCTGCAAGCAACCCTGCAAAGTGAAAAAACAAAATAAACAAGCACAACTACTGATGTTAATTAGCTCTTTGTGGCCTTGGCCTGTACAACCAAAAAGCATGAAAACGGATCTTATGAATGTTATTGCAGAGTTGAACAGGGTGCAGACCTTCTATACTGGACAGGCACAATTCCAGCTTTATACTGAGCCATCTTTTGGAAAACAGGTTGAGAAAGATCAAAGTGTTGCTGGGGAGGGTTACACCACCCTCCATCATTGTTAGGAAGAGCACTGTTTGGTGGGCAAAAATTAGTGGCTGTGACAATAATGGACCCTGGTAAGCACCAGTTCTTGTCATTTACACACTTAATCTCGTAGCAGGCTCCACAGCTCAAGCCGTTGTTGAAAAGAGCAGTACTAAGTGCAGCTGTGTTTGTCCCGTACCCCTGGCTATAGAGATTCCCATATCCACAAGCACCACCTGCAGAAGCAACCAATTATATATGATGGAAAAAAGTTAATGGGGCCTTCCAGATTTAAGAGCAAACAAGAACTTGATATGAATCTTTTAAATTTGCCTTAATTTCTTACCCATTGTCCCAGATGCATCACCACCTCCATAGAATGTTGCATGGGCACTAGTCCACCCAGTGCCATAACCCTTGACAGTCTGAAAAATTGTAAGAAGAATCACTAGGGTGCATCCAAGGAATTCCATTTTGCTGCCACAAAGGAAAAGCAGAATGATGATTAGATAGGAAGTAAGAAAAAAACATATGAGATAGGATACAGCATTACTTGAGTTGACAGTAAACAAGAAAACTTAAAAAGACAAATATTGGAGGTGGGACACATATAAATCATCAGTTGGGCCTTACAATGGCTTAATCAAGATCGAAACACCAGCAGGCAGCAGCTAGCACAAGTGAGGAAACTAAGGAGGATGTGATGTAAGGAAGTGAAGGAATTGAGTTGTTTATATAGACAAGAATGCTTGTTAGTTACTTAAGGAAGTCGTCGATCGATGGTTATAATATTATGTCATCAGTAAATGGGCAAATTAATAATAAAAAAAATAATTGAAACTTGTGAGACAGTATGCATACTAACAGCTAACAGAAACTGAAAACTGTTACATATATTTTTTTCAAAAAAGCCTTCTTTTTCGTTTTTAACAAGGAAAAATGCCCTCTTTTTTCTAGGCTGCCATGGGGTGCGGTCAATGAGCTTTTTGACCTCCATTGCTTCGAAAACAAGATACCTTGGGAATAATAAAAAAGAGTGGTCCAGGCTCCAAGTGCATGCTGTAAAATATTTCAGAAGGAATGTGTGAACTTCTCATAATTATAATTCAACTTTAAGATGTAAAATTATTGATTTTGGCATTCTTGTTGTCAAAATTTTCCACAACTTGCACTGCTTGCAGCATTTTAAACTTAAACAGTTTTGACGTTTGATAATAACACCACTCCTCCCTCTGTATTGAAATTAGTCAAATCCAAGCAAATTAATGAAAGAGAAGATTGCAAATTGAGAAAGAGTATAAAAGAAAGAAATTTATCAAATGTTTATTCCAAAGAATATAAGTGTCTGGTTAAAAGAAGAAATTTCAGCATTAAAAGCTTTAATTGACTTAGAAGTATGGAGATTAATCGTGGGGCACTTATGTATTCATTAATTGTCCACTTAATTTTCAGCTTAGTTTTACGATTATAGCTAGCTAGATTCTGGAATAAGATTCGATTCAATTTAGTTAAGGTCCAAATTAATTAAGACAAAAAGAAGTGGACAGCACTTGGTGTGACAGGTGAGAAATTGAGTTTTAATTCTCCCCTATCCTATGCTATTCTTCAAAGATTCTGTCTCCAAGAGGAAGAGGTTGACATTCCAAGCTTTCCCTTTCTCTTGATCTCCACCATTATATCGATCTTAAAGCAAACTTGTGTCCTTTGCTTCTTGGAGCTGGTATGGGTAACAGAATCTTAGCACGAAAGTTGGCACAATTAGCTTAATCCCCACTCTTCGTCATCAAATATTAATCATTTGTGCAAATTAAGGGGTGTTCATGAATATTTTCTACCCCAACTAGACTGTATAGAAGCACATGGCCAATTGGTGCTAGCAAGGGATAATTCTCTTTGACTTGATTAGTCCTGATTAGTGATTTTTGGAAGGAGTAAATTAAAAGAAAATGGGAAGAAGAAAAAAAGATTATAGTATCACTTTGGCAATGCTGTTGGGAAGTTCACCTCTGACTTTTGCCAGCATTTCTGTGAGAAAGAATCTGATGCATAGTTTTTATATCCAAAGATATTCTAGCAGGAAAATTTGACTACCTTAATTTCCGGATCTTATTATATTATTTTGGATTACATAGAATTCGTGCTTTGCATGTGCAGGCAAGCCTTAAAAAATTACTAGTAGTGATCTGATGATCTCTTTGATCACTACCAAGCTCACAGCTTTCCATCTTTTTGTGACCGGCCCTTTCTTTAATTTTCATTTCTTTTGTCAGAAAACCAAAACTACTTTTTTTTTTTTTTTCTGCTCTTTATTGAGCATTGTTAGCTGTAACCACCTGTAAAGGCTGTAATAAACTTTACACCTGATGATCAGAATTCAGAGCCAACCAACCCCACGAATGAACATGTCGATGGTGTAGGATAGGAACTTATCCTTAAAGTGTTTGTATGTATACGCATAAATCTTGTTCAAGAAGCATGCAGATAATGGAAAGTTTAATTTTCTATATACATCTATACATAGAAAATTCACCGCATGCATTTGTGTCGAAACCAAAACTTAAAGTTCCTCTATAAATCGGATGTAAAGATGCCACTTTTCTAAAAAGTTAGTGACAAAGCTCAAATTCAAATTACGATTTCGAAACTGAATGATTCTTCTCTTTATTACGTACTTAAGTTGACCCCTTGATCAGATCAGAGTATTCTATATAAAAGAAATATTGAAACAGATATAATAGTAAATCCCACATGGATTGGAATCTCCCATGCATCATTAACTGCCATAACTTGTACGCAATCTTTACTTAAGCATCAGCATATATGCAGCTTCTTCAATTCTTTTATGTATATATGGTAAACTAATACTGGGCGGGAGCAAAAGTTTCTTCAGTATCAGGCATGCATGGAAAGTAGCGAGCCTGATCAGCTGCTATGTGGAAATTCATTATTCCACGCCACTAAAGGTGAAGGGAAAAGACCATGTGATTAGCAATAAGCATGCGATTGGCATTAATTCTAGACATGTGCAGGCCGGGCTCATCATCTTATATATCATTAATTCTGCTAATTAAGTCAAAATATATAGAGGTCTGTTGCTAGCTAGTACTAGCTAGTAAATTCTTCTTTGAAAGCATTAGTTAGCGAGAGAAATGCTATGTATGTACGTACGTAATTAATTAGAGTCAAAGACGAGTACATTTCGATCTCCATTAATTTAATTTGCACAATCTTTGGAATATATTGGATCAATAAGGTTTAAAACAAGTTTCTCAACATATACGGTACAGTTAACGTATATCACAATTTCTTTGCATGCTACGACAATGTATATATATATAATTGGTAATCTGTTTCAGATTTTTCAATTAATCATCATCCGTAATTTCTTCACTCTAGCTTCTTTATCAATACTGCTCTGAAAATGTTGTGCAAATATTTTTTACTTATATATATATATGTTACCGGCCATACATATGCAGTAGTACTGTTATGTTTATGTGGATCAAGCGAATGCTATATAGCTGTGGACAATTAATTGATGTCTAACCAATTAGAATCCAGCCGGCCATAAACAGACATCTACTGACGATACTTGGTGGTCATTAAAAATGGCGATAAATCCAGTCGGCAGCCGCAAACAACCAGAATAGGCCAAAACTACAACAGAAACCAAGAAATTAATTATATAATTATTTTGTGAAGTTTGGAAGTCAATATATAGTTGTTAATTTAGAGTTTTGATGTAGGAAAAAGGTTAATTACCTCAAGTTGTTCTGTAGTGTTGACCATTAATTAATTAATAAAATAAGAGACCATAAATGCATAAACTTGGATCGATTCGTAAAGATTCAAATACTGATCAGAGCAACCGCCCATTTCATTCAAATGCATGGTCAAATTCATTTAATTGTTAAAATTTTCTAGAATTTTTTTTTTTTTAACTTTTATTTAACTAGGAAATTAGTCATAACTATAGGATTTTATTTTGTTTTTCTATTCAGTGTTATTAGGGTTTCCTTAATTAATGAAAAGAAAAAAGAAAAGAGATTACGTCAAATTCCAGTACTTCATCGACACGTACCTACCTGCAGTGATGATAGTTGGGTCGGAAGAATTAAGTATCAGGTTTAGAAATATATAATCAGTTGTGGTTTTCAGTTTAATTTGTTCATCTGTATCCGGCCTTGTAGCAGGACCGACCGGATCAAATGACGAGGTCCATATCCGCGTGGGCCGGTATTGAAGAGGTTTGAGCTGATGCTTACAAGTTTCTTACTTTGTTCTAGGTTTTAGCCAGCTATGGTTCTATGCTGGCATGTCCTGCAGTGGCTCTTTTGATACCTGTTTGTTTCCTTAGAAATAAACTCATTTCAGACTGGATTACGATTCTTTTCTTCTTCTGTAACATCACTATATCAGAATTCGTAAAATGCTATCAATTCCGAGTTATGCAAATAGGCTGATAAATGACTTCTTCTGTAACATTTATATAGGATCGATCAAAGGTAACAAAATGCAACCACCCAGCTGGCTCGAAGGTAATTAATGAGTAATTAGCATCTAACGAAATCGCCTGGTTGGCCAACCCCTCCATCATTAGCCGGCGGCTCTCCTGCAACCGGTTTCATCACACAATATCCAGGCTTGGAACAAGAAGGCATAGATGATCTACCTCTCTTGATTCCATCGAATTCGCACATATCTGCAGCGAGTCTTCTTTCCATTCCATGTCTTTCAGCTCTTCTCCTAAGATTTTGCCTCTTTATGATGGACGCCAACGTTTCTTTATTTTCTCTGCTGTTCATTGGCACTGGCATTGCCTCTAAACCCATCAGCTTCGCTACCACTCCTGGTTTGCACCACACCACTCTTTCCCCAGCCAAAGTTGGTGGCAAACTCAATTTCCTCTCAAACTTCGAAGCAAAATCATTTCTGTTCATTCGTTCTCTCACTCCATGGTCACAGCAGACCGATTTCCTGCGGTCAGCTGCTGCTTTACCAACAGAATCCAAGTTCCGGAAAGAAGACCGATACATGGCATCCTTTCCATCAAGGGAGAAGCGAGGGTATTGATTCAATGCGTTTCTCGCAGATCGCAAGATATCAGAATTGTTAACGCATGACATTCTACCGGCCCGCATACCGACATCAACATAGCTGTTGAGCTTAGCTTTTCTTGCAAACTCCTCTTCTAACTCTAACTGCAGTATCATCTCCTCCAGTGTTGGTGAGCTTTGTTGCGCTGCATCTGCATTATTATTCCTGTGGATACAAGGAGAGGTAATTACAGATGGGGTGGCGAAACAATGGTGATCATCAGGAGGAGTACTACAATTGGCCTTGTTGTGTTGATCGAGTGTAGAAGTTGAGGTATCGTCATTACAAAAATTCCTAATCCCTTTCCTCATCTTGGCTCCTAGATGGTTCTTGAGGAGAAAGAAGGACAAATCTTTCAATGGCATTTACAAGCCAGAAGGGCTTGACAATTAAGGAGATGGAGGCGAGGCTTCGCTGATTAGTAGCCAAAGGAAGATCATCATCAAGAGGAAGAGGTTGTTGATGGGTGGACACTAAATTAAGAACGTGAATGCTGTGACAGGGAGCGGTGCGGCTTTGAGCTAAGGCCTTAATAGCAGTCACATGATACAAGAGAAAGCATTGATCACAAGCTTCTTTCCCATATCCACACCTATGCCTGCAAATTAAAGGTCTCTCATCTCATGATTATTACTATAAATAAATGTAATTGGTGGTTTTAATTAATGATCATTTTAACGTGCAAATTAAAGCTTCGGAATTCAAAAGGACAACAAGCTACTATATATATATATATATATACACACACACACACAATTATGATCTGATCGATCAGTATGCCAAGCTCCTCCTTGATTCAAAACTGTTGGGCAGGGAGCATGCTGGGCCAGAATGGGTGATGCCAGTAGCACTCACACTAAATACATAGCTACTTAAAGAGAGCAAATTTATAAATACAAATCCCATTTTTGGATTTGATATTGATCAAAGAGAGCAATGTTATTTCTAGTTTATAATTTAAGTTAATTATTGACATCATTAAATTGAAACTTTTGTTAATTAATTGCTAGAATAATCTTGCAATTAAGTTGCAGCTAGCTAGCTAGCGACCAACCAACGGAGAAGAAATTAAGTAGCCTGGCTTGGATGAAAGTAATCAAAAGAATATGGTTGGCTAGGTACGTACTGTGTTTAAGTGAGTCCATTAATTGGTAAACCGTATATCTAAATAAGGCCACTATCAGGGCTCAGCTGGGCTGATCTGGGCTGAGCTGGCCTTTGCTGGGAGACCCTTTCGTGTGTTGGGCTGAGAGGGGCTGAGCTGAGATGGGCCAGTATGGGTTGCGATGGGCTGACCTTGGCCAATCTGGGATGGTCTGGGCTCATCTTGGCTGAGCTAGGCCGATCTGGGCTGAGCAAGCTTGTTCTGGGCTGACATGGGATCGTCTTGCCTGGGCTGGGCTGGTCTGGACTGATCTGAAAAAAGTAGAAATATATCAATCTGCTTTGATATGGGGCCTCGGCCTACGATAATATCATTAATGGGTCCGGGCGGCGCTTTTATGAAGATCAAAATTAACAAAGTGGGTGGTGTGGGCTTTATCAAAATCAAATCAAATGAGAAACGGTGGGCTTTAGAACCCATCCATGACGATGGATCTTGTGAGTAGGCTTGGCTCTTTGTTTACACAGCCTTTCTTTCCTTCCATCACCCATCCAGTTTTATCGATTTTATTCGAGCTTCAAAACGTTAATTATTAAAATAAAAATGAAAAAAATTAAAAATTCTGGATCTCGATTTTCTGTGTGAGAGACTAGAGAGAGAAGATCATCTATTAATCTCCACAAACCAGAGGAGCTGTTTTGGAGTGATTAAAGAAAGAAAGAAGGAAGCTCAAAAAATTCGATTTTAATTTGTTGTACATCCATCCATCGCTTTGGTTCTCGTTTCCTCTCGTCTCTGGTTAGTTATATTTTTAGTTTCATTTTTTGCTGTGCTAATTCATTTCAATTTTTCTCCTATTATTGATTTTATTTTATTTGTATCCTTTCCTTACTTGCTTTTGTATCAAATTCATTGCCATTTGTAAATTGTTTCTGTTGAATGGATTATTAATTTAGTTTTTTTTTTATATAATTTTCCAAAATTTGATGTGTGTAATGATTTTGTGATTAAAATTTTTTTAAAAAGGAGGATTTTTCGTCAATGAGAATGGGATCGGTTGCAGCGATGTGGTGGTTAACGGTGGTTGCTGCTGCATCTCGCCTTTCATTCCTGCAGGCTTCTTCTTCTCCATCGACTACAGTCCCAGCTTTCCTCTGGTCTCCTCACCTTCATCAGTATGTATCTACTTGATACTTCACTCTCTCCTTTTTCTTTATTTTTTGCTTTTCGTTTTTCAATTTAAACCAATTACTTTTTTACCTGAAGTTGTATCTATAAACTGGCACTCTGCCTGTCTCTTCATCAATATGTGGGTACCATCCATCCTGTTTTACATAACCAAATCAAAACACAACCTCATCATTTTGATATCTCATTTAGTTAGTTGTATGCTTTCTTTTTCGGTTCATAAAATTTCCATTATAAAGCTATTGGATAAGAGAATCAACTATATTGAATTTTCTCATCGCAAATGAGTTTTGCGCAACATAGTATCAATTTTGAAGTTTTAGCATGTTAATCATGTTGTCCTGGCTTTATATTTTCCTCATAGTCTTCTGTAAATGGAATCTTTAAATGTGTTAGATTCTGATCATGGTTTTTCGAACAACAGAATGAGTGAAGCAGTGAATTATCAGACCATTTCTTCAAAAGATCTTGCCAGGTCGGTTCTGTCTGAAGGAGGCTGGTCAAACTTACTGGTACTAAGTCTCGTTTATGCTGATAGCTTGCTGCAATTTTTTTCAGTGTTATAAATTTCTACCACATTTTCTTCAAGAGAATTGTAAAGAGATGAAATTCCTTGTTCACCTTTTGTTTCATTTTTCCCATGTAGTGCTCAGAAAAGAAAATTCAGCATTCTGTAGATCTGGCGCTTGTTTTTGTTGGCAGAGGGGTAAGAACTTTTGGGCTTATCGCTGGTCAATGATTTGTGCTTTCGTAGTTTGACATATCATTGGCAATGCAATACGTTGCAACTTTTTTAGCTAATTTTCAAGCCCCAGCTTATTAATTGAATACCTTTTGTTTTCTACAGCTGCTTTCCACAGATATTTCTTCGAGCAAAAACTCAGATCCAGCTCTTGTGAACTTGCTCAAGGTAACTGAAGCTTCTCTAACTAATTTTTGAATGGTTTTTTAAATTGAAATCAAAAGACCCTGAATTGCAGAAATTGCTGTAGTCCTGCCTGGTTGTATTCTTATAGTCAGCATTCCTACTCTGAGCAGGTCTCTTATACCAAGTCCAATTTTTCCATGGCATTTCCTTATGTTGCTTCATCAGAGGAGGCAATGGAGAATTCATTGGTTTCTGGGTTTGCAGAAGCTTGTGGGCAGGATTTAGGAATCAGTAATATTGCTTTTTCAGAGTCATGTTCCGTAGAGGGTGAAAACTTTCAAAAGCTTGCAAATCTGCATGCCATCAATGTAAATGAAATTGAAATGTTTGACTACTAGTTCCGAAATTTTGGTGGCGTATGACAGACCTCTTACTTTCTTAACCATTAAAAAATATTCAGGACTATCTGACTTCAAGGACGGAGAAGAGACCTAGTGGCCAAGCTGACCTGGTTGTATTCTGTTATGGAGGCTCTAATTCGATGAAAGGACTTGATCAACCACAAAGTGAAAGTGCGTTGAGTTTTTTTGTTTCTAGATGATATCAAAACTGTTTGTTCAAGTTATTTCTTTGCCAGAAAATGCTCAAACATGTATATATTAACTGGATATATGCAGGTGAAACTTTCTCTGAGCTTATCAGCTCTGTGGAGACATTGGGGGAAAAATATGCTGTTCTCTATGTTTCAGATCCCTTCCAACCAATCCAGCTTCCTTATCATCGAGAGCTAGAAAGGTTTCTCGCTGAAGGTGCTGCAGGGAATGCATCGCTGAATTCCATGCACTGTGATGAAGTTTGCCAGATCAAGGCATCACTTCTGGAAGGAGTTTTAGTTGTAAGTTTTTGATTTTCTCCATCTCATCCCTTTGAAGAAAATAATTTTCTTTGTTAAGTGAATTATTGATCGAATGCCCACGGGCATCCGGTTCTCTAGTACAAAGGCGTGTACAAGAGAAATACCATCCTGGACTAGAAGATACGAAAGAGAAACAGAATAAAGTCTAACTGGTTCTCCTAATATTCCCAAAACGTTACCAGCTAAACTGTTTTATGACCATTTCCAAATTTATTCCCCACTCTTTATCTTCTTTACTGTCATCATACTGTATTGGTCGTTCCAGGAACCCTAGCAAAATGCCAAGGCCACTCACTAGTTGAAATCCTTGTTTCTGGGTCTGCTTTCTGGTATAACCCCTGTTGCGGCTCTATTGTGCTTAGTGTCAGCAAGGTAGAGTTTGAAAGACAACAATAAATCAAATCTTAGTTGTCAATAATCCATCATATCTTAAAATAGACCCAAGACTTAGTGCTGATTTGAAAAGGAAAAAATCTTCTTTGAAATCTAACAAGATATTTGAGTGGCCTGCCTCTTCCTTCTTTAGTGAACTTCTGGTGAGTTCATAGCATATAGAGCTACCCTTGCGATTTTAGCTTTTTCCATGACCTCATACGTTCTCCCAAGCTTATTGTGGTGTTGATTCAGCACTATTGTAGAGGTGTCTTGGCTAGAAGGGATTTTTTTTTTTTTGAGTGAAGATATAAGTAGTCCAAGTAAATGTTATAAACTCGGTGGCTTCTAATCTTGTGCATGAAACTCTGCTGTTTGTCTATGCTAGTATGGTCCATTATACTCATTTTTGTTTTTTCACTCTAGTCCAATATATTGTCATATCTACGGAGTCCTGATATTGTGGCTGCTTGTCATGCTCCAGGGCATTGTTTTGCTTATCATTTTGATATCAGGCCTTTGCTGTATGATGGGTATTGACACTCCAACAAGATTCGAAGCTCCCCAAGACACTTAATTGGGTTGTATGGGTGAGATGATACCTTTGTTCTGTACCGCCAAGTAGTTTGTCTCGGGCATTTGTGAAAGAGATTAGTTGGTTGTTATATAGTTTTCACTGAACTGAGACACTCTCTTGTAATATTTAAACAAGTGTTATCTTGTACTGGTAATAATGGAGCATTATATTGTTTTTGTTAACACAATGTATCATGTGCCCTTTTGTTGTCCCGGTGCCATGTAGGTTATATTCTTGATTTGAGTAGAGGTTTTATGAATTGACTTGCAGTTCCATTGAAATTCCAGGCTATGCAATGATATGAACTTTAATTGTAGTGGAAATGACTTGCAAATGTTTGCTTGTCCATATAAAGCTCTATTATTGACCTCAGGTTGATGTGTTGTTTCAATTAATGATTCTGTCTTGTCTTCTTCGTGATACATCTATTGAAGAAGCAAGTGATAGAAAATGATGCCATTGGGTTTTAATTATGGTTTATTGCTAGCTTGTTTGCAACTCGAACAACTCCCCAACTCTTTCGTTCATCTAGCTTGCGATTTTGCCCTGGCTCTTGTCTAAATAATAATTAATTCCTTACGTAGTCGTTGACTCTGTCAAGTCTTGATCACCTACATATCTATCCATCTATCACTTGCGTCCAAAATCTCTAGCATGCCTGGCTAACCATTTCTCTCCACTCACAATTTACACGTAAAGTTCAAATATCTGCGTGGGGTCTTTGGAGTAAATAAATATCCGGGTAGTTCAGAGCTCTATTTTCAAGTCCCAATATCTGCTTTATCAGTGGTACTGAGACGCATCATTCACTTTTAGGATGAGGAGCTGATCTTGTTTTTACCTGACCACGTGTTTAGTTCCTCGGCAATTCTTAAATGCATTTAGTTAGCTTTCATGTGTATTGGGGTGTGTGTGTGTGTAGAGCGAGAGAGTGAGAGTGGCTGTGGATGGAAAGGACAGAAAGTAGGGGTCATATATATCTGTATCTGTTTTGCGCCAGCAGGGTAAACGTGCGTGGCTTTCATGAGCACGTTCTAGCTAGACGAAAGCAAAGCTCAAGCAAGGAGCTTCTCCTCTTCCTTCAAGCAGCTAGCTACGCACTCTCCCTCACCTCTACCTCCTTCCTCCTCCAATATTTCTACGTACATATTCCTTTCCAACAATTTCTAGCTAGCCAGCCAAGCCATGGCCAGTAAACATATAGTATTGGCCTAGTTATTTGCTTGGATCAAAGTTCATCTATGGCCTCGTATGTAGAGTACAAAGTAGCATGCAGCCAAGGATGACTTGCCGACTTGATAAACTCGTATAAACGTAATTATTACTTTATAAATATTCTCAGTCGTCGTCACAGATTGAGTAGTAATTAGTTGGCAAGTTGTCCTCGGCTACATGTTGTTTTTTTGCTCCACATTCCAGGCCTTTAATTTGGTGACAAATAACCCTTCATTCATATTACCAGCTACCTAGCTTCTTCGATCAAGAAAGAGCTAACCTAGCACTACTTAAAGAGGTAAATACACATACACACACAATATATATGCCTAGTATGTAGCATGCATCTAATTAATTAATTAACTTCTTCTTCTTCTTCTTCTTCTTCTTCTTTTATTTATTTTATTTGCTCCATCGCCAACAGAAGACATCATTTTTTTTTCTGAATTGTTCATTATTTTTCAAATAAAAATCTTCATTGGAAAATAACTTTACTAGGCATGTATGTATGTGCAATGTGAATCACTGATTAATTAGGGAGAGGGGATTAGACATTAGCGCTGCTTGCTGTTGCTTTGGGTTATGGATTTATTGACCTAAAATGGGCTTAGGGTTAATAATCGAATTCGCCCAAATCAGATGGGCTTCGAAGCTGGTAATAGTTCAGTGAAAGTGGGTCTATCGGCCTTTGTTTATTAAATTCAACACAGTTATATAAGAGGCCCAATTAATGTTTCTGGACTTAATTCGGAGCGCATATATATATATATATATATATATATAATATAACAATGTATTGGTAATTAATTAATTAATTAATTGAATATATAAGAGATACATCGATCTTCAGTTACGTGCATGCATATTTAAGAAAGGGAAATCAATTGGAATTAGCAGTCCAGGGAAAATTACTTCATTCACTTTAACTAGTCTTTTTGAGGCACCCTTCAACCTTCATTACATTCTTGACCAAAAAAATTAAATTAACTTTTAGCAATTTAATTATTTTCCTCCATTAGCTTTTAGCAACTTATATACTCCTGAATATAATATTAATTACAGTATCTTATTCAGAAAAAAAAGTGATGAGTTAGTAAATTTAAGTTTATCATAAGAAAATTGGTGGTGGAAGAATTTGTTAGACTAGGGAAAGTATAGGAAGAACATACTACAGCAAGATTTTGAAAGCCGTGGACTGATCTGTTAATGGAAAGTATAAGTTGGGGACTGAATTATATTACTTATCGGTATGTGCTATATGTATATATATTTTGTTATAAATCCCGTCTTTACCAAAACTTAGAACTCTCCAGTCTCCAGTCTCCACCAACCACAACTTTTGTTAATTAAAAACAATTATTAACGATGATATGATTATCATGAATTTAGAATAGGAGTCGATCTGCACGTTGGTCCTTTACCACTAAGTTTACCTAAATAATTAAGAGTACTATTTTATATTAAAAATAAAAAAAATATAGTCTTATTTTCCTCACTCTCTTCGCCTCCATCATCACTTCATTTCGGCCCCCACCCCCCGGCCTCCTTATAAATGTTTGTATGGAGTAATTAAAGGTAGGTACATCACAATGATGAAGAGGTCCACGTACCACCCCACATCTATCTTCAATTAATATTCTACCTTGTAAATGTTGGACATCCATCGCTATATAACATATAAAGTTAGTTCGATATCTTATTATATAATAAAATATTTTTTTAATTTGTTTTTAGATTTGTAATTAAATTAATTTTATTTTTAAATATAAATTAAGTTTTAAATTTCATATTTTAATAATTGATCTAGATTTTTGGTTCTGCTAGGAAGTCAAAAAGCTCACGTAAATAAGATTTTAGATTTGCATGAGGGAGAGAAAAACCTAGATGGCTATCTCTAGAAACCCTAGAGACCAAAGGATCGGTGGATGATCAGAGAAACAAGAGAAAGACTAGGAGCCGCCGTTGTCGTTAGCTAACTAGTGAAGTGATCAGCTTTGACAGTCGTTGTGAATAAATAAACCCCTTTAACTTAATTAGTTGGCATTAATTATATATTTCCTAGGAATTATAACCAGCGGGCAGGCTATTTATGTTGGCTGTTTCAAAGAAATCCACATGCACAGTAGTGCAGAAACCCGAAACTAATATTTAGTATAATGTCTAATCAAATATTTGGATTTTCAGTTTCCCAACTCGGGAATAATAAACTATGAAACAAAGAGTTTATACATTCCATCGTCGAATGAATGAGCTGAGATGTCGGGTTGTGTTGTTCCCAATATATAGATATTCATGGTACTAAATCAAAAAACAATACTGGTACTCTTGTACCTTCAAATCATATTATACATAGATAGACTTCAATCTAAATATTCATGCAACCTCTCTCTCTTAATTACGACTTGTTGTTTGTGTCATCATCGTAAGTTGGAACTGCATTTTCTTTGGCCCATTGATTGGTCTATTCTGACGTGGTTTGCACACCAATTAATATTGAAGATTATTCGGTACCCGTGAGATTAAGAATGTTGGACCATATAGCTAGGTACTCAAATATAGGCTATGGTTAGGTGAATCAATGGTGATGGAGCTAGCTAGCTAGCTAGGAAATAGCAAATAGCAATGGGAGTTATTTATCAATCAATTGTCTTTAATCAGCTCATCATGATCGATCAGTAATAAATGAACAGTCTTTCTACTGCAATTCATCATACGAAGAAGAAGTAGTAGATTAAGCTCATCATTTTAATTAATCACACCAACAGACAACCCTCTCTCTCTCTCTCTCCCTAGTATTCATGCAAATCAAGGCAGGCGGGCAGGTCTTTTGTCACGATGCTAGCTAGAAACCAACAATAGTACTCTGGACTGGCATAACACATTGACACCAATTAAATGCTTTAGTGTTCGTATCTGCTACCCTCTCACTCTCACTTCCACCCTCACATGGGGTTTCAGAATGGATACATAGATATACAGATCAGATCAGACATGAGAACCAGTGATATTTTCATTTGTCATAATTGGAACAATGATAGTTGATCATCATATATAGAATTAACCACCACCATCACCTGATCTGCGTCTCCATCTTTCCTTTTGCTAGCTAGCTAGCTATAGCCTACAGGTATGGAACTTTCATGTCGTCACCATTCAAAGCGGTTTTGACCAGTACTGATCAACGAATTTCTGCCATAGCCATACTACCGGTATTTTCTTTTCTCTGACTCCTCATTCCCCAACATTTTATGTTTCTCTCCCCCCCACTTAAATATTTCTGCTTCTTGTCAGTTCATTAATTAATTTAAAGATGCAATTCAATGCATCATTCCAGATTTTTATTTAGAGCAGGAAATAATAAATTAAACAAAGTTTAAAGAACCAGAGAGCTTAATTAGCTAGATTGAATAATCTTGTAATGTTGTTGACTTCACTGCCCTGTTTGATTCAACAGAATCTTGCTGACAGTTCACTCTTTCTCTTTTTAATACAATTATAGCATATAGACCCTTTCAACAACTTGCCATACAAGAAATTTCTTCTGCCTCTGTTGTAATTTTATTCACTTCTTAAATTACACTGGTTTTTAGTTTCTTAGTAGCTTCGGCCATTACACGAAAGCGAGGATTCGATCTTTTACTATTTCTGAAAGTCAAGCTTCTTGTTCAAACCAGACTATTTCAACTGTTATTTATTCTGCAGACAGCATTTCTCTTCTTCAGTTGCAGATCGCGAACTTGGAATAAAGAGCAGAAGGTCATGTAGAGGGGCGAAACAAAGAAACCGCAAGTTTTCCACAGACTAGTTTTGACAAGTCAAGAAAATGGATTCAGGAAAATCTGTCAGAAATCTTGCTGAATCCCTTCATTCCCTACTAGGGCTAAAGGCACATCTAACTTCCAACTGGGTTAAATCAGTTTGTGATATAATAAAAAACCTTCCATCTGAAAAATCAGGTGACATGCAGTCAACCAACTCTGATACCAATTATGATGACGATGATGAAGCCTGCAGTGCAATCTCAAAAATAAAAGGTAAAAAAAAAAAACCCTTTGTTTTCATAAATTTAGAAGCACCTGTATCCGTTACTCTTCGTATATTTACTGCTCACTCTTCTATTTAAACTTCCTGTAAACAGATGAACTGACTGTCTTGACTGAACACATCAACCAACTGAACATAAAGAGAAGGCAGATCCTAAATGAATTCCTGGACTTGAAAGGTTAGTCAGGTTTCTTCACTGTGATGCAATTAATGAACATTGAAATTATCAAATTCTCCCGCGAAACTTCGAAAACTTGAGACTTGGCTTTTCTGAAATCATGATCATGTTTAGTCACCTTATAATCAACTGATGGCTTGACCAGAGACAGACTAGTTGTTGGACTGACACTTCATGCCATGTCAACAAGCCATCAAGTTGATGGTTGCTTTCTATTATCTGAATAGCCAGAGTAGATTCTTAGCAGGTCATGACAAATCGATTGCAGTTCTATATATGCTCACATTTGCCATTGCAGGGAACATTCGCGTATTTTGTCGAATAAGACCTGTCACATTTGGAGAGAATTTTGGTCATTTAAGACCTGTTGTAGCGTCGGATTCGAATAAAGTTCTTCTGAAGCTTATAGACAATAAGAGCAAGTGTTACAATTTTGACAAGGTTTTCCACCCAGGTTCATCCGAAGGTGCTTGATGATTTCATTTCTTATTCTTCCTGTAACAAAAGGCAAGTAGAAAGCTATTTTATCATGCTTTAATAGTTGGAAATTTTCAGATAAAGTTTTTGCAGAAGTTGAACCCATCATCAAATCAGTCGTTGATGGCTACAATGCCTGCATTTTTGCATATGGGCAAACTGGCACGGGAAAAACTTTCACAATGGTGAGAACTAGCCAACACTTTCACTCATAATATTTAGGAATTTCTGAGGTTACACGGCCAAAGGATGCCAACTAGAGGCCCAAGGACACACATTATGCTGAACACAAAAATCATACAAATTCAATCTCTGACTCTACTAACCGTATGTTGTTCTTGGTTTATTGTATCATAGGAAGGTGGCGCAGATACTCCAGGCGTAGTGCCACGGGCTATTGAGGCTCTGTTTAAGCAAGCGGTAGACAGTAACCATGCATTTCTCATCAGTTTCAGCATGCTTGAGATTTACATGGGGAATCTAAAGGACTTGCTTGTCCCCAAACCAACAAAAGCAACAGATCCTATGCCACCTTGGTAAGTTAACCAGCCAAAATGCTAGAACTTTACGGAGATTTATTCTCTTTAAGAGTCCACAAAGCTTATCCACCAGTCATTGCAATCAACTTAATCCGTTTGGGTGTTTCATTACATTTCCAATGTGAGAAATAGGTCATAAATAAGTAACTAACCTTTGTAGAACAGTATATTCTCACATCATAAATGTTTCAACACATAGGGTTATCTAGCTACATTTTCAATCATTTTGAATGTATTAAGGCAATCTTTTCTAACACAATCCAAAATCTCTAAATACAGCCTTTCAATTCAAACAGATCCAAAGGGAGGAATCGAGATTGACAACCTTGTGGCCATTAAAGTAAATGACTTCAACCAAGCTCTGAGGCTGTACAGATTAGGATGCCGTTTCAGATCAACTGCCTCAACAAATTCCAACCTGACTTCTAGCCGATCTCACTGGTATTTGACTTTACCTGATTAGACTCTTATGTGTCAGTGTAGTTCAGCTTGAGAATAGAGATTGAAAACCAGGCAGTCATGCAGTTGCCTTGATATATGGACTGATTCAAAAACATCCTATAAGAAGGGCAGCTATCATCCTCTGTTCTAATCTTGTTTCTTCTATATTGCTCACAATAGCATGATACGGGTAGCAATAACTTGCTTTGATGCTCCTGAAAGGCGACGGGAAACAAATAAAATATGGTTAGTTGACCTTGGGGGAAGCGAGCGTGTACTGAAGACAAAGGCATGGGGCAAAAGATTCGATGAAGGAAAAGCCATTAATTTGTCACTCTCTGCTCTTGGGGATGTGATAAGTGCCCTCCAAAGGAAAAAGCACCATATACCTTACAGGTATTGAACTCACTAAACCCTCATTTTCCTGGTTTATGAGGGTTTGGCCACATGAATTCTTTTTAGCCATTCAACCCTATTTCTTCATCTTCCACCAAAGTAAGTAGAACATTACCCGCAATTGGTTATTAAAAATAGTCATTGATTTGTCGTTTAGATAAGAATTGCAAAAAGGGAAAACAACAAAACCTGAATTCTTTCACGTTGGCCTGTTCTCAAGCATTAAGAGAAAAAAGAATTAGTTTCCACTTCCTTTTCAAAATTCTAAATACATAGAACAAAAATGCTTCATCAGCTTTTCAAACCTAAAAATTATGGGTGGCTAGATAATGTTAGCTTCTCCAGAGTCACAACTAAAAGCTAACTTATCGTTTTACTTTTGACAGGAACAGCAAGCTGACACAAGTTCTTAAAGATTCTCTAGGTAACTATCCTTAATCATGTCCATACTTCTGTCTATGCGATTACAGCTGCTAACCATTCACAGGGTGGTCTGGTCTTACCTCCATTGGAGTACCTTAATAGTTCTCAAACAACAAATTTAAACCAGAATCATATTTCACCCAATTCTGTTACATATTCCTTAATCATGTTATGGGAATTCTTTAAGAAAAAAACTGATGGTCGTATACTCATTGCAAGTGTGGGACTCATAGGCCATCTTCTCCAATGTGATCTAAGTATTCTTTGCTAATGTAGGTTTTCCCCCCTGCTATCCTCAGGTGACGATTCAAAAACAATAATGCTGGTCCATGTCAGTCCCAGAGAAGAAGATTTGTGTGAGACTATATGTTCTTTAAATTTTGCAACAAGGGTGAAAAGCATTCACCTAGGAAATGAGGATACAATTGTAAGTAGGTAAAAATACTTTGATTAAGATTGCATTTATTAAATCACCATCATGCAATGAATAGCACAAGTGTGTTCAATTAACCCCTTAATGGATTTTGCTTAAAAGATGTCAACTAATAACATTTAATAATAACATTTAAGTACAACCCTCGTTAAAAATTCTGGAAACTCTTCCACAACCATGTTTTGAGTCCTATTAAGTACATATTGGCTAGTAATAAAATCTAAATGTGTGTTGAATATAATCTCATGAATATAATTAGGTTTTTGCTTTCTATGTAGCAAAATATATCAAGTAGAAAACTGGCATATTCTGGTGAACAATTGAACTAAAGCATGTAAAATAAAATAACAGATGAACTGACCAATAGGGTGAACATTTGCTAATCAGGATGCAAAAAAGCAGAAGGAAGCTGCAATGGAAGATCTGCAGCAAAAGATGAAACATATTGAAGACGAACGGCTGCTTTTTAGAAGTGACATTGAGAAATTAAACAAGAAACTAGAAAATCTAACAGGGACAAATCCATCATCTGAAAGGCAACTGGAGGCATACCGTTCTTGTATTGAAGAACCACTTACAAGGAGCAGGATAGTAGATATTACAGTGACTCCCATATCAAAGTTACCAAGATTTATGAAGCCAACCATTTGCAGCCGAAGAAAATCTGGGACAAGGTATCAAACTTCTGAAGGAAGAGGTGACACAGTCCTTGCAAGAAGAAGAAGACCGACATCTCAGCGTGCAGAGTCTGTGAGTTTCCCTGTGAAGGATCATTCAGAATACAATTCAGACCGCAGCATTTCCAGATCTAGCTGTTTGGCAGGGTTGAACATGAAAAATAGTGCTGATAATGCGACAGATTACAGCCAAGACACATCTGAAACTGATTTTAAATTTAATGGTCTCCGAGAACAAGAAAGACCACCAAGGAGTTTGATTAGTCAAAAGGCTGGCATCAATCACATTCAGAAAAATAGCAGTAGACAGGTGAACAAAATGAACCATATCAAATTTTCTAAGGTTGATAGCTGGCTACATCTACAGAAGAGTGAATCCACTCTAAGTGGTTGCACTACAAAGACAAAACGGGTTTTAGCAGTTCCTATTCCCGAGAAGAAACTCAAGAGTATTGTACAGAGCAAAGCAGACAATTTTTATGATGAGACAGTGCATGACTGTGTGTATACAAAGCAAAAAGTTGTCAACCATGATCAAAAAAATGATCTTGCAACTACAGGGGCAGTTGGAAAGCCCATATCAGAAGTGGTAATCAAAGAACCACTGAAAATGTTAAAAGATTTATTTTATGAGGACTTAAGATCAGATGTTCCTTCTCCATTGCAGACAACTGGGGGAAAACCAACAATACAAATACAGCATTCTGTGGATGGCTCATTAACAGGGGATAGTGAATATGGCACTTTTTCTCTACCAGATGGGTGTAGTCCTAGACTTGAAGAATGTGAGGATGGAATCGGGGTCAATTCTATATCAATTACACACGCATTAGAAGGCGAAATACAATGTTCAGAATGTTTCCAGCTAAAGAACAGTGCGTGCAGTGAATGTTATCCATCTGAGTCATATGCTACATCTGTTTGTTCAAAAAGGGATTCCGGGGTCTCCTTTTCCATGTTAGAACTGGAATCATGCTGTCAGAAAACACCAACTAAATCAAATATGGAAGATGGTAAAAGGCAAGACTTTTACTCCTTTCAGCCCTTGGCAAAAGAGACAAGACATGGCCTGCTTCAGATGAAATCTCAAAGAGCTTTATTTATGAACAGTGAAAATCAAGAAGACTTGGCTGTGCCATTTGGTAAACCAGAAGGAAAAATACAGAACACAGGTAAGAACTTTGATGTTTAAACCAAATATTTCTCTCATATCATGACCATGTTCATTGTTATAAATGGAACAATGGCCAACCTCCTACCCCCTTTTTTCTTCCTTTTCTTTACCTTTTTTTTTTTTTTTCAAAACAAACCCTCTAAGCTAACTTCCATGGGGGGGAAAAAACCAACTTATATATTATGGTTATTCCGATATAGTAAATCACAGTCCATCATCTTATAATTTGCTCGTATTTTGACCAGGAATATGTGATGTTGTTAGACAGAAAATCGAGATTTTATGCTCCAGTGCTCTTCTAGGATTGGGGCTTTATAACCTGGGATTTGACCATGATTTCTTCTATGGTTTAATGCTTTGACGCAGCTCCAGTGGATGATGGCCTATGTATATGTGTATGTGTATCTATATATTTATTTTTCTGTGTGTATACAATATACTCATTTCGTCTTTACTATCCCTATGACAGTGGGATATCTTAGAGCCATCTTGCAACAAAAATCCTTAAGCTATAGGTCCACTCTGTAATTTTTTTTTCTATACAATTATATTATGTTATTGTCCTGTTCAATTTTCTGAATGAAGACACAAAATGTAGTAGCAGCTTTAGTTAACTGGAAATGCATAGAAGTTTGGGGGAATGTGAGTCAAACATGCTGATTATTTGTTAATTCTCTAGTTTTTTTTGAAACGAAAGGATCCTCAATATTAACAGGTTCATCGTGTTTTGATATTAATGCTCCAATCATAAATCATTTCTGCAATTGAACTTCCCAATTCTATATGCCACATCTGTCATTATATTCAGCACAAGTAATAAGGCATTGGAAGCAGGAAAGGAAAAGGAAAATAGATGTGTGCACACGAAAATCTACCAACAGCTCAGAAAAAATTAGGCAGATTTTTTAAAGACATACCTCCTTGCTGAGAAATGCGATGTCAGAGCCATTCCATCTCAATGTGAGTTTTATTGCTCGGCTGTTGAACATCTGAGGCACGGGGGTTTTTCAGATGGTTACAGCATTTAGTATCCAAAGCAACCAGAAGTTGGTTTGGTAATAGATCCTGCACCTCTAGAAGTAGAATTGCATCCTATCTCTATTCAAGCAGCGCACTACTTTCCTCCTCCAAATGCCAAGCAAGTCCTAATTGCCGATTTATCTTGCTTAGAATTTCGTGAATCCTATCAAACTGAGGATGCGATGTCTCTCCTGCAATAAACTCATGGACTCTGTTATTCACTTCAATAAGACTCCCTCCTGGCATTTTTTTAACTCCTGCATCCCTCATCACCTTCCTCACCATCCGAGACTCATTCCATCTACCATGAGAAGCATAAATGTTAGATAAAAGTGCATAGTTTCCACTGTTATCAGGCTCCAACTCTAATAGATGATGCAACGCAAGCTCTCCAAGCTCAGCATCACCATAAGTATTACAAGCAGCAAGAAGAGACCCCCATATAGCCGCGCTAGGCTCAAATGGCATCTGAGCAAGTAGCTTTTGTGCCTCTTTGAGGTGACCAGCGCGCCCAAGTAAATCAATCAAGCAGCCATAATGCTCAATCTTGGGTTCAATCTTATACCTTGATACCATACATTGAAAATACCATTTACCGGTTTGTACCAATCCCACATGGCCACAAGCGGAAAGGACGGCAATGAAAGTGATGTCATTGGGCTTAACTCTTTCCCTCTCCATTCGGGAGAACATTTCTAGGGCTTCTCTTCCAAGTCCATGCAAAGCCAGTCCAGCAATCATTGTTGTCCATGTTATGATGGTTTTACGCTTCATGTTCTCGAATACTTGTAACGCCCTTGTAATATCGCCTGACTTTGCATACATGTCTATAAGTGCATTGTTAAGAGGGATGGTTGTATTCAGTAATCCATGTTTGTCAATGTAGTTATGAATCCACTCCCCCAACTCCAATGCACCCAAACGGGCACAAGCAGAAAGCGCAACCAAGATGGCAATTTCATCAGGCTCCACTTTCTCAAGCTGCATTCTTCGAAACAAGGCAATGGCATCGTGGGGCCGATTCGCCTGATCATACCCAGTAACGAGAGCTGTCCAGGAAATAACATTTCTTTGAGGCATACGTTCGAATAAACCTCGAGCATTATGGAGGTCACCAAGCTTGGCATACCCATTAAGCATTGCATTCCATAGAGCCACATCTCCAGTTGTCATGCTCGTTTCATCAAACAGCTTGCGAGCATCTGAGATGCTAGGAGAGCCAAACGAGGAGTACATCCGGACCAAGGCGGTAAGGACGTGAAGATGAGAATGGTGGCCAAAGCGAATGGATTGAGAGTGAAGTTGCCTTCCAGTGTGGACAGATGATGATCGAGTGACAGCCTTGAGGGCGAAAGGGAAGGAGTAAGTGTCGGGTCGCAAACCAGCAAGTTGGATGTTATTGTAAAGAAAGATTGAAGATTTGAGGTGGGGAGGAGAGCAAGAGAGAGCGTTGATGATGGAATTGTAGAGGTAGATATCGGGGGAGTGGGTAATGGAGGCGAAGACCGAATAAGCATAGGAAGAGAAGCCGAGAGAAGAGCAGGCGTGAATGAATCGGCTGAGGAGGAAGTTGTCTGTATCGAGGGCTCTGAGAAGCATGAAGGCATGTGTCTGGTGTATGTGTTTGAGATCAGAGGAATGGCTGAGTAAGGAATCCAAAACTGATGATGATGATGAAACAAGGGAGGTGCAGGCGAGGAGGAGCATTTCTGCTCTGCTTTGCATGGCATTCAATTGACCACCCCAGCCCAGCCCAGCCCTGATCCAAAAAGGGGAAGACAGAAATTCCTCAGTTTATATTTTTATACCCTAATTTTTTAATTAATGCTCCATTATCAACTGAGTCTTACACCGATGAAACATGTTAGATTCCATCAATTTTGCTTCAGACCATATGAGTCACTCAGGTCAAAACAAGTCCCGATCTCTTTTGTTATCTCAAAACAAAACAGAAACTCAAACAAAACAGAGTTTTTTAACGTCGAACTCAAACATAAAACACAAACTCATGATTGATAATTGATTTCCCAAACAGTAAGTTAGTTAGTCAGTCAGTTGGTGAGTGAGTGAGTGAGTGAGAAAGAAAAAGAAGGTGGGTAATAAATGGATGGGAAAGCTGTTATTACCACTCACAAGTCAAAAGAGTAATAATAAATAGCAGTAAGTAGTAAATATCACGAAAATGAATTAATCGGATCCAACAACTATGGTAAAGGAGACCACAATTCGCTTCGCTTCACCACACTTTGGCTCGAGGGAGAGAAAGAGAGAGAGGGTAGTAATTTTATTTTACTGGTCTAAACTAGAGTAGAAGCAGTAATAATTTTATTGAGAGAGTTTGTATTTTTCAGTTAAAACAAGAAAGAAAAAGAAAATGGGACTGAGTCAATGGTATGGTCTGGTCGTTCGTTCTTCCGTTATCCCTCTTGCTTAGTTTCTCCTCGCTCTCCAAACCCTAAACCAAAATACGATCATGCCTTCTTCCTCAATCCTCCTCCTAAACCTCTACTTCTAGAGCTAATATTCTTGGTCTTCTTATTGTTGTTCAGCTCTGCTGCTGCTCTTTCTCAATTGGAGTGTGCGGCAGTCTATCCTTATCTTTCAGATCTACCTCCTCCATCGCTCCTTTTCTTTTCTTTCTTTTTTTTTTTTAATATTAATTAAAACTACTTACTTACGTATTATTATCTATTAGATTAGATGGAGGGGAATTCTGGTGGAGGTGGAGGTGGAGGTGGAGGTGGAGGAGTCGGAGGTGGAGGTGGTGGCAGTGGAGGAGGAGGAGGCGGGGGAGGAGGGAATGACGTAGAACTCATGTGCAAGACTCTACAAGTGGAACACAAGCTTTTCTATTTCGATCTAAAAGAGAATCCTCGGGGTCGTTACTTGAAGATATCAGAGAAGACTTCAGCCACCAGGTCCACCATCATCGTCCCCTTCTCCGGGATTTCTTGGTTCTTGGATCTCTTCAATTACTATGTTAATAATTCTGCTGATGATCAGGACCTCTTCAGCAAGGAATTGCAGCTCGACACCAAGGCATTCTTTTTTCTCTTTTTTTTAACTCGCACTTCCTCTTTATTACCACTACTAATCAGCATTCAACAATAGCATTACCAAAGGTTCCAATTTTAAATAAATTAATTAATACCCATTACTTGCAGGTTTTCTACTTTGACATTGGCGAAAACAGAAGGGGCCGGTTCTTGAAGGTACACTGCTGTCACTCCTAAATTTAAATCTTTGATTCCAACATAATATAATATAACCATGCTATGCTATGCTTCTTATTTTAATTGCTTTTAATAACCACATTGGTTGTCTATCTATTTACCGTGAGAAAATGCTATGCTTCTTATTTGTTGTTGTATAGCAGAACCAAGGTGACAATACACAGCTTTTTATGGTCTGTGCCGGCCTTTAGGGTTTAGGGAGAAAGATTATGCAGTTACTTTGGTATTTTTGTTTATCTATCCCAACATCAGATTGAGAGGGCCTTCTGCATGCTAACCTCCTACTTCAATAAAATGTCATTCTCCCACTCAGTGGACTCTTCTTCTTTAAGCGGTTGCCAAGCCTACAACTCTTTTACTCTTGTCATCTCCTACAAATTCACATACCTAGGATAGGAATAGGATAAGCATTTCTTTTTTCACTCTGCTATGCGCAATAAGAACCTTTAGAAGCACTTCATTAACCCATCTTCCTAAAGATTGAACGGCGCTTTTATTTCCCTTCTTTGGGCTGCCACTAGCTTGTTCACTTGGAGGAAAACTCATTCTCCAAATTAATTTTGTATATTCCTCTCTTTCTAATAAAGTTTTCTTTCTTTCTTTTCTTTTTTTATTTTCCCAACAAATAATTAGTTCCTATATAAGAGTGAAGCATTGATGTTAGTTCCTATACAAGAATGCTGTACTTGAAATTAAGGCTATCCTAGGCGCTGTCTTTGAGAACTGTTAAGAACAGATTTATGGACAGGATTGTATCTTTGCACTTGCTGTTAAATGGTCAACTTCCATACACTAAGGCAAGTCTGCCATCAAAACAATAATGGCAATTTGACTGGGCAGGATATCAATAATCCTCTTCAGTCCTTGCAGAGTTTAGGATTCATACAACCAGGCTTCAAGTAGTGGCAGGTTTTTGTATGGAAGGCACTTTTCCCGCAAAATACCTGCTTTGTACATTTCCCAGTTTTGGATGTTTCAACAAAAGTCTAGACACATCTATATATGTCTTACCAATGATCGTCTTAAATCATGAGCAAAATGGAAACATGATTCTTGCCTAGGTCTTACAGATCTGGTAAACTCACCTCAGTCTTGACCATTCCATGCAGCACCTGGACTCACTATTAGGAAGAGTTTCTAAATAGCTGCAATTGCCTTTATTTGAGTTCTCTGAGCATTACTCTATTTAACTATACAATGACTATAGTTTGCAAGCAGCAATCTTTTGTAAGAAACCTACTTTCTACTGGGCAGTATTTGATGTGCTCATACCTTCCTATGCCAATTAGTGAAAGAAAGTCCGAGTTATTTTTCCTATCTATTATGGACCCAGAATCTAATATGAACTTGCAACTTATAAGACACTATTAGGAAATTCGTGACTACTGCAGGATGGTCAGATACTCAGATTTCTACCAGAGGGATCGCTATGATTTTCCTGAAAATCCACTCTTGTGGAAAGTTGCTTTTAAGAAGTTGCATATTTTAGCAAACTACTAAAATAACTACGAAAATATGGTTCAGGAGACAGCTTTTATAAAACCTCCTAACTTGTTCAATGTAGTTTCGTATAATGAGGAAACTTCATGGGAAGTAATGGAACATAGTTAACTACATCTTTTATAAAGTTTATCACCTAAAAGAAACAGAAGAGATAAAGCCATATTTATGCTTCAACGAAACATGAGAAGAAAAACTATTAAGGAAAAGAATGTATTAACATCTTGAAATATTTTCTGGTCTTCCGTAGCATTTGCTCTTTTATTCCAAAATTTCTGTGGAAGTTATACAAAGTTTTAGGTTTTTAAATTACCTTTGAGGAGATGTAATTTGCGTGCAAAAGAATGATTGAACATATGCAAGGGTGACAGAGTGGCAGATGTAATGCTACAACTTTCAGAACTTAAGCATGCTGTTGCTTGGAGAAAAAAACAAAAGGAAATAGATGTTCTTTGTGCACTTGTTTTCCCATCTTCAGGGGGCTATTCAACTTGCTACAATGCTCCAAGTTCACTTCTCTAATAGACATATTTGTGCAGGTGTCTGAAGCTTCTGTCAGTAGAAACCGAAGTACTATTATTGTTCCTGCTGGAAGTTCACGGGATGAAGGGTGGGCAGCCTTCAGGAACATTTTGGCTGAGATCAATGAAGCGTCAAGACTTTTTATGCTGCCCAATCAGGTGATGCTGTGTTACATGTGTAGTTACCTTATCTTCTTCAACCAAAAAGAAAAACTTTCAAATTTATTAGAGGGGGTCTCACTTGTGATTATTTCATCCGTTTTATTCATGCCAAACAGCAAAGTGCTGAAACTTCCGAGCGCCTTGTTGGACTTTCTGATGATGTAGGCGCTGGCTTCATATCTGGGCACAGTAGCCAACCTGCGCCTACTTCTGAACTGAATGTAGACAGGTCAGTTGAACTGCCCCCACAGGATGAAATAGGTAATCCGGGGGTTTCAAAGGTAATCAGAGCTGATCAGAAAAGATTCTTCTTCGATCTGGGTAGCAACAACAGAGGTCATTTTCTGAGGATTTCTGAGGTGAGATTTTAAGAGGAGCTTTAATTATAGTCCAATGAGAGTTTTTCTTCCTTTTTCATTTGGTGTGGGGGAAGGCTGGAGTAATTAATATTCGATAAAATGTAAATTTCTATTTAAGAAAAGGTAGCAATTGGCCAATGGGTACTGCCCCTATACAGGACCAGGAAAGCTACATATCCATGGTTCTGTTTTCTGAAGTGAAGGCTTGTGTCCATTTGAATTCGTGATGGAATATTGTCAAAATTGCAGGTTGCAGGTAATGATAGGTCCTCCATAATTCTCCCACTTTCTGGGCTGAAGCAGTTTCATGAGATTGTGGGTCATTTTGTGGAGATAACCAAAGACCGAATTGAAGGAATGACGGGAGCTAATGTTCGGACTGTAGATCCCCCTCAAAGATGAATGCTTGTGATTTGAAGTTTGCAGAGAAAAAGAAAAATGGTGAAGACTATAGTGGGTTTGCGAAGAATAATATCACTCTGTATTCTGTCAAGGGATTGCTTCGGCTGCAGCAACTAGGTGTTTGATTAGAGTGTGACTCTGGTCAGTTTGTGTTTTCTGTTAATTTCTTCTTCCCTTCTTCTTCTCATTCAAGTCTCAAAATAATCCGATTTATCTGTACGGTGAACAGAAAAGTTTCGGAGATACTTTTACAGTGCACTAGCTCTATGTAGGGAATAACAGAAGAAACGAATCAGATAATTGTAATTGTTAGTTTTTTAGTTTGATAGTGTGAAACTGTTGTTTTTCAATAATGCTCATTGCAGATGTTTTGTCCAGTTTCAATTTCGTGTCTCAAACAAAGGTTGTAATTAAAGATGGCCTACAAAGTGATTGCAGGATTAATTGTTAAACTTCAATGATCAGTTTTAACTTTTACCACCATTGTCTGATGAGCGTGTATTATATATATATGTATATATATATTCTTTTGGGTGAGTGATCAGATAAATTTTTACTTGCAAGAAATAAATTAAAGTACTTAATGTCTAGTTTGATTGTAACTGGAGGGGGTATGGTGTAATGCTATACATGGCTTTGGCTGAAGTACCAAGATTTCTTAGAACAGAGCAAATGTAATGATGAATACAGAAATTAAAGGAATAATTTGGAAAAAATTTATTGCAATAAATTGGAAGGGGTTAATACATGGGGTATCAGCCACTGTATATTTTCATCCGTTAGCTCAAGCGCCATAGATGCTGTAAGGTTGGGGTGTTGGCATGTCCTTGACGAGGCCACATAGCAAAGAATTATCAGGAAGATTGTACTCGTCCCTAAGGGAGCGTGCAGGGGAAAGAACACTGGCATACAGCTGTTGTCCTAGATAAGTCCTCTCCCACATCTCTGACCTGATGTTCCACATTCCAGCATTGTCGAATGTCAAAAGAATGGCAGCCCAGGATTTGGGGAAGACCTGAACGGTCGTCCTGCTCACTGCATCAAGAAGATTGTAGCTCTTTCTCTTTTCAGGGGTCCAAGTGCCTGGCTCCACGCTGTTGAATACATAATTAATTACTTGGTTAGAGATATTCACAATAATTAAAAAAGTTTAGATATATATACATATTTATATACTGCTTCTGCATTTGTTTAATTAATTACTTACGCGACTGCAAAGAAGGAATAACCATCCAAGTGATATGATTGCATGCTCTTCTCGGGGTTCTCAAAGATGATCTCCACAAAGTTACGGAAGGTGAGGTTAAGGACATTGGGTTGTGAGACAATCTTAGCATGAGCAATGTCAGCTTGTGGACTGTCTTGGATGGTGTCATATTTGAACACCTTGTCTGCAATTCCATAGTACTCAGCAAGTTTGAGAGGCGTCTCTGGATTAACGTGAGAGACGCCATTGAGGGCATAGCGAAGCTTGCCACCTTCTCGGCTAGTTGAGCTTACGAGCTTGATGGTGCGGGTAATGTTGATGGAACCATAATGGTAAGAGCCTTGAGGGTTAGGCCTAGCAGCACTGGCTGTAAGATTCCAGCGGAAGGAACGGAATTGATTGAGAGACCAAGCCCATCCAACTGGTGCCTCAGGGAGCTCAGGCGATGCTGGACCCTTGCCATTGGTGTAACGGATGATGCCCTTGCCTGTGAGAACCTGCTTATTGAATCGGGTGGAAGCCACCATGTAGTAGTCTTTGGGAGCTTGGTTGGCTGTCACGAGGACAGTGAAGCATTGTCCAACATGGACATCGAGTGACTCGTACACGTTTTGCACCACATGGGAGCCCTCCATCTCCACAAGCTTCAATGGATGGCCTTGGATCCTGAAATTGAGAGTATTCTTGAGCCCGGCATTGCAGATTCTGTACTTGTATGTCTTTCCAGGCTTCATTGTGAATAGAGGCTCGTCCTTGCCATCACCCTTTGCATTTTTGCCATTAATGAGGACGCCGGCGGGCCTTGCAAGAGAGCGGCCGCTATCCAAGAAACTCTGGAGAGTCTTGTGGCTCTTAGTGTGCCAGTCATTAAGAATGACAGTGTAATCGTCCTCGGGATCAGCATAAGGGACAGGGATGAGTAGGCGGCTGTTGACGCGAAGGCCGCCGAAGCCACCAGAAGCGCGATGCATGCCTGTTGATGGGTAGTAGATGTAGCTACCGATCTGGTCCTTGACCTGGAAGTGGTAGGTGTAGTTGGTTCCTGGGGGGATTGGGCAGTTGGTCCCAAGCACTCCATCTTGCCACGAGTTCTTCCTTTGCTGGATACCGCTCCATGTCAAAAGGAAGGGCTCGTCAAGGTTATTGAAGACGTTGACGACGATATTGTTGTTGGAGGTAGAATTGATGTTGGGACCTGGAAATTGATCGTTAATGAGAATGACTTGCTGGGGAACTCCTAGAGGTGAGCGGGTACCATAGGTGACGTTCCATGTGAAGAACAAGTAAGGGTCTTCACCCTGGACAGTGCCCAACATGGCCCCTGCAGAGAGGCAGAGCAAAACCAAGAACACCACCCCAGCCATCTCTCTGATCTGCTCGTGACTTTAGAGAGGGATTATTTAATAATATTAACCCTTTCCTCTTCCTCCCTCTCACACAAAACTAATAATTAAATATGCTCGTTTCTTCTGTCTCTATTAATGGAAGAAGAGAGATTAATTTACCTTTCTTCTACATCTGGAATGCTGCCCCATGCCCTCCTCTTTTATACCATGCATGCATGAAAATTCAACCATTCGATTCCCGCAAATTCCTCTCTTTGCCTCTCGCCCCTTGCGTTACTCCCTTCCTCACATGTCACAATTCACAACAAAAAAATAGAGGATCCACTCCCGACTTTTATGCACTGCTTTGTTTGATTTTTCTTTTCCTTGAGAAAATTAAAAGATGCCCACAACTGTTGCCTAAAATTCACGCCTTTTTTTCCTTTTTTTTTTTTTTTTACTACGTACAATGCCTTTGCTAATTTGCAAAGGTAATTGATTAATGCTTTTTTCCCCGAAATTCAAATAAGTTCTTTTTAAAAAAAAAAGATATATTTTTCATTCACTTTGTTATTAATCTTTTCCCCATTTTTGTTTCTATCACAACGTACCAAATATACATGACCAATCCGGAGAAACATTTTACATGGTCCCGTTTTACTAAATATAAAGCCATTGTATTCAGGCAAATGTGATAGAATATCATCCATTTTTACCAGATATATATATTTATATAGTAGTTAAAAAAAAAATTTTGTCTTATAAATTTGAAGCAAATTCACTTTACAAGTTACTTATGAATCCATCATTTACAATTAAAACCGAATTATTTTTCTAAACAATTAGTCTGTCAATTATATTTAATCAAATTCGAACAAAATCAACGTATATATAATATCTAGATAGCTAGATATGAGGAGCAAGAAGGTTGGTCTGCTTCTGATGGCGGCCTTGCTTTTTGTTGGCATTACTGTCCATTCTGCTTCCGCTACGAGGCAATTCCCAAATGTACTGTGATCCCCAACCCTTGGTCAACCATGCATGCCATGATTTTAACGATAAAATGGAGTCTCCCTACAAGTCTTGAGTTGTTGGATGGCTGAATATTCATTTTACATTGAATTATATATTTTACTTTCTTTATCATTTTGAATTCATTAGGAACCAACTTGTTTCTTTTTTAGAACCAACTTGTTTGTTTCTCCTGATTCGCAATTGCAAATGATCGAATGAATCTATTAACGACCCCTCATAAATAGTTGCAAGCGATGTGCTTGCAAAAGTTTCTAATACATTCATTATTAGAGTTAATATAAAATTATTTCATGACTTTTAGTTAGATTTTTTTGGTTTAAAATGGTCATTTGACAAGCTTTTTTTAATCAAACGATTAGGAGTTATAATATTTTTTTCTCCTTGAATAGTTCCAACACTAAGAAACTTGAACTAATTAATTTGTTCTTTCGACTCTACCTTGTGAACAAATAATAATATGCTGTATTATGTATATATTTATTTAGGAATATAGACTTTGTTTTCTAAAGTAATTGTACGTAGATTATAAATAACGAAAAAGAAAATAAAAGATCATTAAAAAATTATTTTATATGCAAATTCAGTACTTACAACAAGTTATAATAGTTCAGGACATACGCAGAAATAAAATTTTGGAGCTTGTAAAAGGTAAAACAGAAGAATTCCACATAAAATTTGAAAACTTATATATATATATAAGTACTGTTTTAATGTAGCATGAGTCGGAAAGTGATAGGTTCAAAAGAAAGAAAGAAAGAAAAATATACTGCAGCAAATAAGGGTGAAAGGAAGAGCGATTTTTAGTGATAGAAATAGAGTTTTTTTTTTTTTTTTTTTTATAAAAAAAAGAAATCTAGTTTAAAGATGGAAAAGATATGCAATAATTGTAAATTAGATTTTATTTATTTATTTTCCCTTTTTGATCCTAATAAATTGGATCTTACTCTAGCCTTCGATATTTTATATATAATAAAAATTACGAATTCTAGGGTATAATTATGAAAAAAAAAATCTACTAATAATTCCAATTCCAAACACCTTATCATCCACTGAATCGCATTTAGGCTCCACGATTAATTAACACACTAAGTATGTTTGATAACATATTTAAGTAGTTTAAAAAATTAAATTATATTACTTAATATAAAAAGTTTATTTAATAATTTAAATAATTTCATATTTAAAATTTAAATTCAATTAAAATTTACTAAATTAGGTAAGTTAAAGTTTTTAACTTAAAATTTTTTTATTAATAGGCTCAATTGAAAATTTTTTAAAACTTTATAAATATAACTACATAACCTTTATATATTTTTATAACCTTAATTGTACAAATCGATTGATAAACGATCTCTAATATACTTATTGTCGAAACAAAAAAGACATCCTCTATTATTGATGCTTTCATCCCATCATCAGTACTTGACTTATGG